CTGCTGACCGAAGCATGTGTGAATATCAGGCTTGGGGTGTCGCAGCGAATTGGATCAAGAGATATTGGTTAGTTAAGTATAGCTGTCCCTCCATATCCACATATTCTGTTTCCATGGATTTGACCATCCATAACATGAAAAACTTTTTCACAATTTTTGATTTTGCCATTTTATATAAGGTCCTCACAATGCACTTTAATACTGACTTAGGATGGACCATGCTCTTTCATTTCTCTCCGAAAAACCCTATCCTAGTTATATTTTACCTTGTTCACGTCAGCATTTTCAATTTTAATCTATTACATTTGGCCCGGCCATTTTTAAAATCGTTTATGTCACCATTGATTTTTTTGTTTATGTGATTTATATGATTTGTATTTTACTGATTGTTTATTGATGTTGTGCTTATTGATGTTTTGTTTGATGTACTTTGGGCTTGGCCTCATGTAAGCCACACCGAGTCCCTTGGGGAGATGGTAGTGGGGTACAAATAAAGTTTATTATTATTATTTAGTAAAGGTAAAGGTTTCCCTTGACATTAAGTCTAGTCGTATCCAACTCTGGGGCGTGATGCTCATCTCCATTTCTAAGCTGAAGAGCCGATGTTTGTCTGTAGACATCTCCAAGATCATGTGGCCAGCATGATTGCATGGAGCACTGTTACCTTCCAGTTGGAGCGGTACCTATTGATCTACTCACATTTGTATGTTTTCGAACTGCTAGGTTGGCAGAAGCTGGGCCTAACAACAGGAGCTCACCTCACTCCCCGGATTCAAACCGCCAGCCTTTCAGTCAACAAGTTCAGCAGCTCAGCAGTTTAATCCCTGAACCACCAGCAAGTTAAACCATTTTACTGCACCATTATATATAATGGTACTTGAGCATCAGTGTATTTTGGTTTGCACAGGCAATCCTGGAACCAAATCTCAGCAGATATCCTAGCAATGGCTCACTGTATAGTTAGCTAAGTAGCTGATAAAGAATACTGGATGACACCTTAGAGCAATGGTTCTCAACCTGTGGGTCCACAGATGTTTTGGCCTTCAACTCCCAGAAATCCTAACAGCTGGTAAACTGGCTGGGATTCCTGGGAGTTGTAGGCCAAAACCAACAGGTTGAGAACCAATGCTTTAGAGTTCATTAAAACCTTTTGCTCAGCAGGTGTTCTTCTTGTGTATACAGGAAAAGCTGCGACTTGTCTGTAGAGTTTTAACTGTATCTTTCCTCCCTACTTGAAAACATCACTTTTGTGCTGTATTATTAATAGTCTATCCGGAAGCTATTAATAAAATGCCAATAGAGGCAGTGTGTATCTGTCTATTATTCTGGGAGAAAGTCTTCATAAGATAATGGAAAAATAAATGGTCTCATCTTTGGATAATAGATGTAGTCTTCCCACATAATGTCATTTTCTTTTGAATGGGAGTTTATTTTGGGCTCAGACGTCTTCATCCTGGAATGTAATACTGCGCTTCAGTTTCTTTTTTGTATTAGATTGGTTGCATGTTTCATAATGCCGTTGGTCCTTTTGTGTAATCTTGAACTGTTTCATCTTCCATGAGCATGGTTTCCATTGCCTTTTAGCTGCATGGGATAGCATTCCTTTGCATTTCCCCTTGGGTTGCTATAGACCCAGCAGCACCCTGGAAGTTAAACAGTATCAGAGTCTGGAAAGCCAGGCTGCAGGCCCTCTGCAGTTATTGGTTTAGAAAGTATCTCTTTGGGTTAGGAGTCTGCCCTTTTTCCTGGGGTTAAGATCTCCATTTTGGAATCTCCCCTGCCTCTTTCAGTAGAGAAAAGAACCTCAGATGTGCTGTTGGTCAGGCAGGGAGCTCTGAAAAACCCATTGTGAGTACTATTGAGTTATAGAGAGAGAGATATTAAGATATTGAGATAGTAATTGAGTTATTGAGAAATAGAGAGAAATAGTTATTGAATACTATTGAGCATTACTTCATCTCCAAAACTGACCTTGTGCTTAGATAGGGGAAGACCTGTTCTTTCTAACCATAGCAGCTCAGGGTTAGGGTGAAATATCTCAGGATTTTTTCTATCATTTGGAGAAAGGTTACCTTAGTAATTGAAGAAAAGGGGAAAGAAAGAACATCTCTATGGTTTCTCAAATTGACTGTTTGTGTTGTAACTTTGTCAAGCTGTGCCAAGTCTGCCAAGGACTTTGGAAATAAACATTTTGTTGATGTTCATATCTTGACTGGCATCAGTTGCTGAAAGTATTGAGTTATTGCTTCTAAGAAAGACCCCCCAGCGGTTCACCCAGATAAAGAGAGAAGCACATCTTAGTTTTAATGTTATAGGGTCTGGGTGTGATGGCACATGAACCCTGTTTTCCTTACCTGAAACGGTGTCTTGAGCTTCCTGCTGAAGCATACCATAGAGTTGCTCTGGAGGATGTAGAATTGCTTAAAGAGAACACATCTCTGGGTATTTAAAGAATGAGCGTCTGGCAACTGAGACTAGTTTCCACCATTTTATTAATTGGGACTCCAGCATCCACATTTTTGCTATCCATGTTGGTCCTGAAACCAAACAATTATAGTTTGCTTTTGGTCTCTCTTTGTAGCTTTCCAAATTTGTCCTGTGTGCTTCTGCTTGATCATCATTAGTTTTTTTTTTTTTTTTGCAACTGTGTGCTTTCTGTTGCATAATACTGTATGAACCAACATTGTAGATAGAGGGCAAAAGGAGACATTCATTTTGAGAACCTTATTATTAGCCTTCTGTAAATATATGTAGGATTGCCCTCTGGGGTGTGTGGTTATGCTGATAATCATCCCTTGATAGAGCTCCTCCTTTCAACATAAGAGAATCCATTGTACACCACAAATGCTGAAGGTCCAGACTTCATTAGCTTGTGTTTACATTAACTGGGGCTTAACAAGGGGCTGATTGCATTGCCAGCAACTGTGCCAGGCACCCTGCCTATCCCACAGAACTGTGCTGGCTCATATGGTTTGAGGGAAACTGTTTTCCTAGGATGGGAGGTGTAACAATTGGAGAGCATCCAAAGGTAGCTACATGGCTAAGAGACAAAGCTGTGAGACCAAAGTCCCCAATTTAGATCCTAGCTTCAGCCATGAATTCCAGTTGGGTGGCTTATAATAGGAGGAGACCATAACTCAGACATTGCATGCAAAAGGTTGCTGGTTAGTTCTGTGGTATTTCCAGGCAGGGCAGGAAAACAGTACATGCTGCTAGATAGTGTCCTGAGAAAATGTGTTCTCTTCATGAATTTTTTAGATTACCTCTACCATTTCTAGGCCCTCCAGCACAATTCTGTGGTATGCATACTTAGATGTTGACTATGGAGTTGTGCTGGAGGACTTAGAAATGCTAGAGAGATGTCATCTAGGCATTTTCTAGGTCCTCTAGATTGAGTGTATAGTATGTTTTGACTGGAAGATGGGGCCTAGAAATTGTAAACATGCACACAGATTAATAGTGGAGTGCAAATTGGAGTGCAAGGAACAGAAAGGAAGGAAGAAAAGTTAGAAAAGTTCTTAACTGGCTTAGAAGCCAGTTCTTCTAGAGGTTTCAGATGGACTTGGTTATCCATCACTTACTCCATTTGGCTCTGAAAAGCACTGTTTGTTTGGCATCAAACAGCTGCCAGATTCCCTCCCCAAAGCAGTCCTACATCAGTGCCTTCAGAAGTGGCTGGATGTACTTTCTGAACAAAATTTGTGGTGTGTAACTGGAAAAATAAATATTTGCCATTGCAAATTCATTTGAGTCTAAGAAGGATAACATTTAGGATTTTAAAAAACCCTCTTGTTTTACTGTTATCAGAACAAGAACAAAACCAGCCTCAATTTTATTCTTGTATGGCAACATTTTCAATTGTCTTTACATCCTTTTCCACTTAGCCCAAGTTTGTTTTTAGTACTTGGTTTTTTTCTGTTTACATCCATGTTATATGAACCCTTGTAATCTTTAGGTACTGAGGTTTGTAATAAGAGTTTATGTGTGTGCATGAGAAAGGGGAGCTTGTCCTGACTTGAGAGATAGCAATTGGCGTTGGGTTTCCTAGTATGATTACAGTGTGTGTGTGTGTGTGTGTGTTGAGGTCTGAGGGAAAGTCCTGGAGCAACAATTGCAGAAGTTGCTGAGTGGAGCAACAATTGCAGAAGTTGATTAATTTTCTTTTTTCTAGGCATCCTCTGTCTATTCTTGTTCCTTGTCCCAACCTTTTCTTACTCCTCACAACCAATGCTTTCTACCTTCCTCTTTTTACTTTCCTTTCTAATCTTTCTCTTTTCTTCTTACTGCACATTCCAAACTTTCCTCCAACCCATATATCCTCAGCACCATCCCAGATAATCGATATTTGCTTCTGTAAGTTGGAGACTTGCTTTTTAAAGAGTCAAGCTGGTTCAGCCTGGCTTTTTTTGCTATGCAAAAGTACAACCAATATTCAGTACACAACGTTTTCCAGCAAAAAGTACTGTGTACAGACCACACTAAGCATAAAGAAGGTGTTCACCCAACTAGTGAATGGTTTCCAAGCAGAGTGTATTTGGAGGGCATATGTACTTAATCTTTGGAGGTGAAATTGAGTAAAAGGTAAAGGTTTCCCCTTGACATTAAGTCTAGTTGTGTCCGACTCTGGGGGAGTGTTGATCTCCATTTCTAAGATGAAGAGCTGGTGTTGTCCGTAGATACCTCAAGGTCATGCGGCCAGCATAACTGCATGGAGCACCATTACCTTCCCGCCGAAGCGGTACCTATTAGTGTACTCACATTTGCATGTTTTCAAACTGCTAAGTTGGCAGAAACTGGGCCTAACAGCGGGAGCTCACCCCAGTTCCTGGATTTGAACCACCAACCTTTCAGTCAGCAAGTTCAGCAGCTCAGAGGTTTAACCCACTACGCCAATTGAGTACCAGATCAGAAATGAATGATGATCCTGGAGTTTTGAAATAGAGCTTATGATATTCCAGTTTCAAGCTTGAAACTGCATTGATCACCTCTTTCTCTTTCAGAACATTGCGTGAGGATCTTGAGATCAGTGACAGTGAAGATGGTGATGATGACCAAGTCAGTGTGTGTATACAAAACTTCCAGTCATATAAAATGCACAAAATACTCTTTTTAATCTCTCTCTGGTCTGTATCATTTTCTAAACTAAGTCAACTAACTTCTTCCATTTTCTTTTTTCTTAAATATTAGGTTTCCGATAAGCCATCTTCCTCATCAACCCCTCCAAGGTACAGTTTCTTTGGCAAGAGATGCCAGTAGTAACCAGGGCGGCAGGTTGATACTGTTGTTTTTATGACTGGGGAAATTTGCAACAGTTGGATGACTGCACCTCCAGGAGAGATAATGGGCCATCTCTGGGAGGTCTTTCCCCTCCAAAATCCGTTGTGATTTTGAAACACAGTGGAGAAACTAAATGGCTACATTACCTCATTACCTCTGAGGATGCTTGCCATAGATGCAGGCAAAACGTCAGGAGAAAAATTGCCTCCAGAACATGGCCATATAGCCCGGAAAAACCTACAACAACCCATAAATGGCTACAAATGGCCAATTATACCTGCTGGAGACTTATGAGGAGTGTAATTGACCCATTTTCAATCAAAACTGGGATTCAGGGAGCCTAAAATGTCATGGAGGCGATAACTGTGTTGCTGTATGCAATTTTGAACCACACTTTTGGAAGGAGCTCAGTCTGGGTAGTTGAATGGCAAGAGGGTCAGACTAGCTAAGCATTTTACAGATTAGATGGGCCGGTTGGTTTCCTGTTGGCATAGATTGACAAACATGGGATTATGTTTCATTGCACTGCTTGACCTTCATATGTTAATAAAAAGACTAAGAAGAGAAAATATTGACCAAGAATGATTGGTTTCCTTCAGCGTGGCTTCTGTGAAAGTAACAGGCTACCATTGTATGTGTCCCACCAATAATTTATATTCAGAAGCATGCACAAATGTTGTTAGATGCTGTGTCAGACTGAGTTGAAATTCTGAGTTAAGCTGAAGAAGGACAACAGGGAGCCTAATTCTCAACATACAAACCATAGTGTACAGCAGTGCTTCTCAACCTTCCTAATGCCACAACCCCTTAATACAGGTCTTCATGTTGTGGTGACTCCCAACATAAAATTACTTTTGTTGCTACTTCATAAATGAAATTTTGCCACTTTTATGAATCGTAATGCAAATATCTGATATGCAGGATGTATTTTCATTCACTGGACCAAATTTGGCACAAATAACCCTAAATTTGAATACTGTATGTAGTTGCTGGGATTAATAGTTTACTTACAATCAAAGAGCAGTCTGAAATCCACCAATGATGGAATTGAACCAAACTTGGCACACAGAACTCTCATGACAAACAGAAAATACTGGAAGGATTTGGCGGGATTGACCTTGAGTTTTGGAGTTGTAGTTTACCTACATCCAGAGAGCACTGTGGACTCAAACAATGATGGATCTGGACTAAACTTGGCACAAATACTCAATACACCCAAATGTGAACACCAGTGGAGTTTGGGGAAAATAGATCTTGACATTTGGGAGTTATAGTTTCTGGGATTTATAGTTCACCTACAATCAAAGAGCATTCTGAACCCCACCAATGGGCCAAACTCCCCACACAGAACCCCCATGACCAACAGAAAATACTGTGTTTTCTGATGGTCTTTGGTGACCACTCTGACACCCTCTCACGACACCTCAAGGGGTCCCGACCCCCAGGTTGAGAAACACTGGTGTACAGGAAGTTGGCTTTGCCCTTTAACTTCTAAGGTTGTCATCTACTTTATGGCAAGGGTCCCAAGATTTTCAGACTTATTACGATGGAAAACAACCACACTAACCTTTCTCTGTCATTGGCCCTGTTTGTCTTGAAAACCTCTGCAGTTGAATTTGTTCCTTTCCTGTTTCTCTAAGCCACAAGTCTTGGCAAGAAAAGAATGGCCACCTTACAGTCTTCTTAGTAAAAATTATTAGTGAGGCAGCAGCCAAAATCTTGTCATGTTTTTCACTGTGGTCTGAAGTGGCTTAGCAGTTCTTTATTATTGCTGAGAATTTTAGAATGGGGTCATTACTGTTCACCTCTCCCGTTTCTCTCCTCCCCTTCTTGTAAAAAGAAATCAGGGCAGCCTGCCCACTTGGGCTGCCCTAGGGGTAACCTTGCAAACTACTGCCATGAGATAGGTTAAGCTGAAAGTTAAGAGTCTGGCCCAGTGCCACGAAATGAACTTCACAGCTGTGGGACTTTTAACTTGCACATTTCCACCCTGACATCAGCGAGGTTTTTTTTTTTTTTTTTGAGATCCCAATTCACAGATACATTAATTCTTGTCTGCTTCTGTTTATATTCATGGGGCTGAAACTTACCATGGAATAAAATTCACAGTTAGTATTTCAGTTTTGGTACTTTATGAAAAATTGATTGATTGGCTGGCTTGATTTGATTGACTGCATCAAGAAACCAGAATTCTTTGGGTAATATGCATTTCATTAAAAATATAAAAGATGGACAGTAAAATGATTAGAAGCTCTTTCAAGTAACCTTGATCTAAGCCAGTGGTTCTCAACCTTCCTAAGGCTGTGACACCTTAATACAGTTCCTCAGGTTGTGGTGACCCCCAACCATAACATTATTTTGTTGCTACTTCATAACTGTAATTTTGCTACTGTTATGAATTGTAATGTAAATACCTGATATGCAGGATGCATTTTCATTAACTGGACCAAATTTGGCACAAATAACTGTTATACCCAAATTTGAATACTTGTAGCGTTGGTGTGTGTGTGTGTGTGTGTGTGTGTGTGTGTGTGTGTGATTTTGTCATCTGGGAGATGTAGTTGCTGGGATTTATAGTTCAGCTACAATCAAAGAGTATTCTGAACTCCACCAATGATGGAATTGAACCAAACATGTCACATAAACTCCTATGACAAACAGAACATACTGGAAGGGTATGATGGGCATTAACCTTGAGTTTTGGAGTTGTTGTTCACCTACATCCAGAGTGCACTGTTGACTCAAACAATGATGGATCTGGACCAAACTTGGCATGAATACTCAATATGCACAAATGTGAACACTGGTGAAGTTTGGGGAAAAATAGACCTTGACATTTGGGGGTTGTAGTTGCTGGGATTTATAGTTCATCTGCAATCAAAGAGCATTTGGAACCCCACAAATGATATAATTGGGCCAAACTTCCCACACAGAAGCCCCATGGCCAACAGAAAATACTGTGTTTTCTGATAGTCTTTGGCAACACCTCTGACACTCCCCTTTATGACCACCCCCCCCCCCGAGGTCCCAACCCCCAGGTTGAGAAACGCTGATTTTAGCCATTTAGACCTGAGGATGAAAACAACAATTTTGGATTGAGTATGTAGATAGTAAAATATGCTTGGGGGGGGGGGGGGGAGATAAAACCAAGGTATTTAGCCTGTAATTTTGTTGTGTTGAACATTGTGTACCTACACACAAAGTATCAGTTTTTTTCCTTTTCTGATGCTGTCCCTTATCTGGTCTCATTCACTTTATTAAATTTGCAGAAGTTTTATCATTGATTGAAATAAATACTGTGAAATGCTGCCTCATTTAATCTGTCTAGTTGAGATGTTTCAAACAGTGAATTAGAAACACAAGGAGAGCCAACCAAGAAAACAGGGAAGGAGGGAGGGAACGGAATAAGACTGTAATCTGATGTATGTTTAGCTGAACTCCATCAAGGAAGATTGCAACTTTTTTTTAAAAAAACTGCAGTGCACACTGAAAGCAAATGTTTAACTTTTATAATTGCGAGAAGAACAACATACTGTTCTACTCCTTACCAGAAATCTCTAAATTGCATGTAACTGCTATTGTGTGTTTGCTGTTTTAAATCATGTGTTAGAGGCTTTATCATAGCCATCCATGGAAATTTTTGCAAGGGTGACCAATAGCAGTGTGTAGCAGGTTTCTTGCATCCCTGCAAACAAGAGGAATCATTCCATAAACTTTTGTCATGGAGGCAGTAACTAGACTGCAACAGGGTTCAGTTAAGCTTGGGAATGTTCATTTGACTTACTTAATGTAGTAGAGATAGAAAACTTATACTTGCCTAGCTCGAGAGCAGTGTTGTTGTTGTTCATTCGTTCAGTCGTCTCCGACTCTTCGTGACCTCATGGACCAGCCCACGCCAGAGCTCCCTGTCGGCCGTTACCACCCCCAGCTCCCTCAAAGTCAGTCCAGTCACTTCATGTCGAGAGCAGTACGTGTGAAAAAGATCTTGGAGTCCTTGTGGACAACAAGTTAAACATGAGCCAACAATGTGATGTGGTGGCAAAAAAGCCAATGAGATTTTGGCCTGCATCAATAGGAGCATAGTGTCTAGATCTAGGGAAGTAATGCTACCCCTCTATTCTGCTTTGGTTAGACCACACCTGGAATATTGTGTCCAATTCTGGGCACCACAATTCAAGAGAGATATTGACAAGCTGGAATGTGTCCAGAGGAGGGTGACTAAAATGATCAAGGGTCTGGCGAACAAGCCCTATGAGGAGCGGCTTAAGGAGCTGGGCATGTTTAGCCTGAAGAAGAGAAGGCTGAGAGGAGATATGATAGCCATGTATAAATATGTGAGAGGAAGCCACAGAGAGGAGGGAGCAAGCTTGTTTTCTGCTTCCCTGGAGACTAGGACGCAAAACAATGGCTCCAAACTACAAGAAAGGAGATTCCATCTGAACATGAGGAAGAACTTCCTGACTGTGAGAGCCGTTCAGCAGTGGAACTCTCTGCCCCGGAGTGTGGTGGAGGCTCCTTCTTTGGAAGCTTTTAAACAGAGGCTGGATGGCCATCTGTCAGGGGTGATTTGAATGCAATATTCCTGCTTCTTGGCAGGGGGGTGGACTGGATGGCCCATGAGGTCTCTTCCAACTCTTTGATTCTATGATTCTAATGTTGTTTGAATTGTGCTTCTACAATATGGCTGGAGAGGGAGGAAGGACAAACAATTAACTATGGCTAAATTCATTTCATATAAAATTCCAGGTTTTCTTGGTTTGTCTCTCCAGGTTTTTTAAGAAAGGCCCCTTTTCTGTTGCTCAGTATGCTTCCGTCCATCTGTCTCTCCCCCCAACCATTTTGTGGGGAAGGGAATTGTATTTTGTCTTTCAATGAACAATGACAGGCTATTTTAGATGATGCTGGCTGAATAGTTCTTAGCAGTGCTGTGTCAGGTGGAGTGGGGGAGTGCGGAAAGATGATCCTTCCCTGTTTCTAATTTTGTCTCATGGTATTGGCTTGCAGTGCCCCACCATCGCAGCCGGAGAGCGTGGCATTGGCACATTCCAGCAGCCCAGAGTCTGGGAGCACGAGCGATTCAGACAGTTCCTCTGACTCTGAGAGTGAGAGCAGCTCCAGTGACAGTGAAGCAAATGGTCCCCCAACAAGAACCTCCACACCTGAGGTACGGCGTCCATGTTCTAAGTCTGTGAGTTGTTCAAAGTGCATTGCCAATGCAGAGCTCTTCTTAGCATTTGCAGTCACCTAAGGTATTGCTTCTTAAACTCTGGGTTCCAAACCCAAATGGGGTCCCCTTAGCTCAATGTTGGTGTCACCAAAAAATTTGCAATAGTAAACGCCACCCATTTACACTACTCTATTTTCAACAATGTTCCGTGTTTATAGTGGATTCTGCAGAAAATGCTTCAGCTGTACTTCATAACAGGGGGAAATCAGCCCATTTAGCAAGCCATTCAAATGCTGATATATTATCAGTAAGTATTTGGTTTTTATACCTATTTTATATACTGATATACTTGGAATCATGTAAAAAATTATCCAGTGGAAAGTGGCCATGAGTGGAAAAGTCCTGGTTGAGATAACATTTCTTGGAATTGGATGTTGTCACTCTGTCGTACTGTGCTATCAGCCCTTTTGCACTGCTCTAATGTCCTGCACAGTGCATTTGAGCTTGGGCATTTTACTTATGTCATTCTTTCTGCTATGCACATGATGCGCTCAGCACATGTCATTATGGCCAACTCATGAAAGCCTTTCTCAACCAGTTCCATCAGGTCTCATGGTGGGAAATGTGCAGGCAAGGCTGCAATATAGCCATTCAAAACACACTTTTGGGTTTTTTTATCCCACCTTCCTCCCAATGTAGGTGAATAGAACCTGTCCAGAGTGTATTTAATTCATTCTAACAATTGTAATACAATTTCTGGAAAAATGCCCAGGCCCAGGTAGGACCTTTTCATAGATGGCATGATAAATCTTCTAGATCAGTGGTTCTCAACCTGTAGATCCCCAGATATTTTGGCCTTCAACTCCCAGAAATCCTGATAGCTGGTAAACTTGCTGGGATTTCTGGGAGTTGTAGGCCAAAACACCTGGGGACCCACAGGTTGAGAACTACTGTTTTAGATACCATCTAAAGTCTTCTTCCAGAATACATCAGGGATGGCTTTTATTATCGTCACTTTATTTGGGCCAGATTTATAGATCTTTGCTTTTTAAAAACTCATTGGGAATAGCTGTTGAGGGAGGCCTAACTTTTTGGTACTCTTCTATCTGTTTTACCGTTTCAATGTGCTCAATAAGGGATTCTGGAGGCTCCTGCTGTGTATTTTGCCTGTTGTAGGCAGGCGCACACAGGTACACATAGTTGTTTGCATAGAACCTATTTTCCAGCTGATATATTATTGTATATACCAGACAAACTCCTGCACCATGATATGAAAACATTATGTTTTTTTCCAGCCTTTTTTCCACCATCCCCACATTGCTGGTGTCATTTTTTTAAGCCTCCCAACTAGGAAGAGGAATAAGCATGCTCCATTTCCATTATATTCCATTTCCATTTGAGCCAGTGAGTTGGTTACAGTTCACAAAAAAGAGTGCTCCATTTTTCGCAGTGTCATTTTTCACAGGCTAAAATAAAACAGTCTTTTCTGGAACACCATGAGCTGTTGTTCATGAATTGTAGACTTAGGTAAATCCCATCAATCTTTAGTTGCAAACCAAAGACAGAAAACTTAACATTGATAAAATGGAAATTTCTATTAGGTATTTCAGTAAGAAATTCAGAAGTTCCCCATCTAAATTCTATTTTGATAAATGGATGGAGAGTCTTTGTCCTCTCTTGTTTTGTTTATGTATCAGTACCTAAAAGACAGCCCAAATACCCTAACACCATCAGACTCTTACTCTGTCTGATTGTGGAAGTTAAGCAGGGTCAGCCCTGGTTAATATTTGGATGAAAAACCACCAAAAATGTCAAGTGTTATAGGATATATTTCAGAAGAAGGGACTGGCAAAGCTACTCCTGAGTGAGTATTCCTTGCCTATCAAAACCATTCATGGGGTTAGTATAATTTGATAGGTGACTTGAAGGTATACACACATGTATAAAAGTTATGCGTTGTGACTTTTAAATTTTGGGAAGACAATATTGAGCTTTGCCAAGAATCTGCCTAGAACATTTAGCCTATAGGAAGGGCTCTTCCTTCCTGATTCTTTCTTTCTTTCTTTCTTTCTTTCTTTCTTTCTTTCTTTCTTTCTTTCTTCTGAGACGTGGCTGGACTAACTGTGGTTTCACTTGGCTTGGCTTCATGGGTTTTGGAGGACTCCGTTGACCTACTTGAAAAGGCAAAATAGGAGAAAACACTGAGTGTTTCATAATCAAGAGCAGGCCTTTTAGAGATTGCTTTGGGAACAAAATTGTTTTCTACGTCATTCATTACAGTATTAGGCTTGGTGGCATGTTAAGAAAAGGAACCATGGATTGGTAAAAATCTCTTTTTGAAATTGTTTTAATTAATCACCTCTAGACCATGTAACTTATGTATTACAAATTATGATCAATGCAGTTTAACCTTTAAAGGGTGTGTGTGCAGCCACATGACAGTGGGTTTTTTGATACACCAAAACATGTCTGGGAGGGGACTCATATGTCTGAAATCTTGCCCTTGCAGTATAATCCATGCATATAGAAAATTGTTGTGCCAGGGCAAGTATTTTAGCATAATCCTCTTCCTGACCTATTTGTTTTGTATTGCTTACTGTTTAAGAGACAGAATGTAATACATGTGTTCTGATCTGAAGTTTTGACCTGGAGAACCTAATGCTTGTTGAAAGGCTCAGTTTTAGCTGACCCTGCTGCTTCCATATGTGCCTACCTACAACAGAAAGACAAACAGGAGCTGCCTCCAGCATTTCTTATTAAGGATGCATGTACACCAAAACAAATAAAAAAGGGAAGGACAGATAAGCCTGCTTAACCCGGCTGTGTCCAGTATCTTTGAAATTCATAGAGCAGTGATAGCGAACCTTTTCGAGACCGGGGTGGGAGGGAGGAGGTGAGTGACAGGTGAGCGAGCAGGCAAGCAACCACTGGCATCAAGCTATAAGTCTGGCCAACAAAATGTTAGAAAAGTGAAGGCTGGTAAAGAAAAAAGTCAACCCTGGGTGCATTTTGGAAGAAACCTTCAAGTCTCTAGAAGACTGAAAACGTTTGTTATGCAAGAGTTGCCTGACCTGATCACATGTGCATATTGTTAGCTTTGAAGAAACATTTGCTGAAACATGTTGAACTGGTTTTCGTTTTTCATGATATAAGGATTTCCCCCTATTATTTCTCCCTCTGATACCATATTTTGTGTTAGAAAAGTAATTCCCAGGAACACAACTATTATGTATAACAGTAGGCTTTGTGTCAGAAGCACTCCCTTGCCCTCCCCATATAACTTACCTTTCTTTTTTCCATGGAAGGGAAAACACAAAGACACCTGGTTCTTCATCGGTTTTTTCCCTTCTTTTTGCTGTTCTGTTTTTGCCACGAAGCTGTTATCCTATTGTGCATGCTACATTACCATAAACAGTTGTGCGAGGGCTTGCACTTTCTCTGAGGATGAATAAGTGTGGTCCTTAGTGAAGCCAAATGTTTAGCAAGAACATGCTTGGGGCCCATCCAGACATCCCCTAAAACGCACATCTTCCCACTTCTTTACATGGGGTGTCCAAATGACACCACACATAAAAGTGAATGGTTTTAGGACAAAACAGGAAAACCCTGCTTTGTCCCAAAGTAATTTGACACCTGGAAAGGCCAGGGTCATGCCTTTGTGTGTGGATGAGGACCAGGGATTGCATTGTGCAACTTCCAGTGCCCATCTACACAGCTGTCTCGGGTTTCTTCAGTTCCTGGAGCCCAAGAAACGCAAGTCAATCCCCACTCCCTCCTCAAACCCCTTTAAAAAGCCTTTAAAAATAAAATAACTTACCCAGCCACCATTAAACAGGTGCCGGAGCTCTCCTGGTGCATAGGAATGACATGCCAGGAGAGGGGGGACGACGACCAGGAGTGATTTTCCTCCTCTTCCTCTTTCTCCTGGCACGTCATTCCTACGCAATTGCTCCTGGGTTAAAGGGCCGTCTGGAACGACCCTTAGTCTTTTGTGTCACTTTCAACATGATGGATACAGAGCTAAGTAAGGATTAAACAACAAGCAAACTGAATGCTATAGCACCCATTCTCCTGTTGGTTGCTCTGCTGGTGGGATCCAGAAGACTATTAGGGTTATCACACTAGAGAATGAATCCACTTTAAAACCAGTTTCTGCCTCCCATAGAATTCCGAGATTTATAGTTTAGTTAAATGCTCCTCCCTAAACTACAAACCCCAGAATTCTCCAAGAGGCAGCAACTGGGTTTAAAGTGGATTCATTCTCTAGTGTGATGAATTGGCAAGTTGTGTGTCTTTATGCTAAAAAGTTATAGGCTCCTTTGCAGGGCCATTTAATCTTTAAAGCTGGAGGCAATCTGGGAGAAGATACTCTCCCATATTCAGAAAAAGAAATACTATTCACATCAGTTAGAGATATGATAGTTGTATGGGTAAACCACCTCAAAAAGAGGAAGCATTTGTATGTCCTCCTGCATGATTGTATGGTCATCTTCCAAGAGAATCTGACAATAGAGTCATGCTGAAGAACCTAGATATTCACGTAGAGCTGTTTTCTTAGGTATACAAATGATGGGTTTTTATTGGAGTACTTTCCATTTTTGTGAGGTCCTGTGCCTCTCACCCCTGTGAAAATAGAGAGCCTACCATAGAAGGTTTCATTTTAGGTTTGTTTACCAATCGAGTTACAGCAGGGCACAGAAGCAAGGAAGACTTGAAGGCTGTAAAAGAAGTTGCATTGCACAAGATCTTCGTAAAGTACAGCAAGGAAGGAAGAGTACAGTAGATGCCATTTGGGAGAACAAGAGACTTAAAGATAGCAAAGAGCAGAGAAACTGGGGAAATGAAACGTTCTGCCTGAACCTAGGATCACAGAGAAGTTTCTCAGTGGGCTTTGCCTTTACTGGTTCTTTGGCTCTCGTTTAGCATAAAACAGAACTTAAGCCCTGTGGAGGAATAGGAATGGTAGAATGTTTCATTGAAATCTTTCTTTGGGCACAAAATTGATTTTGCCTTTTCCTCCACAGCCCGATCCACAAGCATCCAACCGATGGCAGCTGAAAAACTGGCTGAGACCCAATGAAAGTGTGCTTGAGGATGAACATAGCAGGAGCAGCCTCCCGGAGGGCAAAGGACAAGAGAAAACTTTCAGCACTGGGAATTGCAGCAGCAGTAGCAAGAGGGAATGTCCCTCGCCAGCAGACAGTCACTCCAAAACTGGCAACAAACCTCCCCGGCCTGGCGCAGAGGTACACCTACCTACCAAGTGGAGCTCCCCAAAATCTCCGGTGCACACAAAGGAGCCTTTCCACCAGACTGTGGGAAGCAAACAGCCCCGGAAATCCATCAAAACCACGGTATCGGAGGAGCCAAAGAGAAGCTTGACAGTAGAAAGTGAGCCCCCTGGCCTATACGGGGCCAAGGACCAATCTTCCAAAGACAAGCCCAAAGTGAAAACAAAAGGGAGGCCCAAGCCAGGGGAGAAGAAGGAGCTCAGACCGACTGTGCCAGAGGCCTCGGAAAAAAAGAAGCACAAGAGTTTGCACCAGGCTACTGTTAAAACATTTTCAAACCGTGATGCTGCAAAAGACAATGTGGTGGGCAGCACCCAGGGTCAGTTGCCCCTCAGCCCCTTAAGTGAAAGCCCCAGAGTTACTGCCACCAGCAGAAGTAGCAGTGGCACGAAACGCTCTGTTGTGGTAAGAGAGGACATTCACAAAGACAAGTTGCTCTTGCCTATCAGGGATAAGAAGTTGCTCTCACCCTTAAGGGATAGCTCCCTCCCTCCCTCACTTATGGTTAAAATTGAACTTGCTCTTCTCTCACGGATCCCACAACCTCCTGGGAAGGGGACCGGTCCCGAAAGGCTCCAAGGCAGAGGGAGCCACAACACTATGAGCAAGCAGGATGTAAACAAGAGGAGCGTGGATATGCCAAGCAAGTGTCTCCAAAAGAGGAAGGTGATTATTCCCTCCAGAAGATTTCATATATTTTTTACAATTTTTATAGAATTGGAATCAAAACCTAAAGTTTAAGTAGAATCCTAATCATGCTGAAATCAAATAATGTTAAAACATGAAAACAGATTCAATGATTGTTGGGGTTCATTTGACTCAGTAGGTTACAAATTGGAGAGGACATAGGAAGTTTGCAGAGTTATTCCTAGTGTTAAGGTGTCTAGGAAGTGAGGACTGGACACAATTCAGAGTGGCGTTGTTTCGGATTTAAGACATAACGTGCAAACAAGAAGAGTGTTTGTGTCAAAAATATTGTCTTGCTTTACAAGAGCGTATATTGAATCAGATCGGTTGAAAATGTGCAGCTGTTGAGCAAATATTTTCAAGTACAGTCAGTATCATCTGTTAATGAGATGGCTTTAACGGCAAGTAAACAGTTGTTACTTTAGTAGTAAAATCGAAGCATCCCTTTAGTGATTGCTATTTGGCTTTATGAGAGTTGATTCCTTTGATTTTTACAGGATATTCTCTGACAGTTCTCTTGAGCCAGTCCTGGCTCAGATGTTGGCATTTTTTCTACTGGGAGTGTATGGATAAAAGCCATCTCAATTGGTTTTTCTTTCTCTCCCTCCCCTCATATCTGATTCCTGTTGAAGTGAGTTTGGGGAATCCATGTGGGTTGAAATCTTCACTATGCTGTTATGTTTTGGCAAAAGTATTAATGGCTTGGCCAGAAGGAACTTGATGCATTGTAGCTTCTTTCCTTCTCCTGCCCTCCCTCCCTCTCTCTGCTGTCTTCGTATAATTCATACTCACCACCGACTTTATATCCAAGCATACATTTAGAGACAGGCTTATTTGAACTGTGACAGACTAGAAAATGTTGTTATGTGTGGTTTTAGTGGAGGTAGTGATTTTCTCTTTCCTGTGAATCCCAAAATAAATTATTTACAGACATTTCATAGAATCATAGACTTGGAAGGTAATCTAGTCCAACCCTCTGCCAATGCAAGGATCCCCTTTTATATCCCTGAGAAGTGTTCATTGTTGTGAAATCATGTAGTACAGAGATTAGTAAAGCTTTCTATAAGGTGGTAGCTTCAGATGAGTTGGAGTATGGCGTCCCATCACAGAATTGTAATAATAAACTTTATTTCTATACCACCCTATCTCCCTTCTTGTAGTGTTGTAAGTTGGGTATCTAGTCCAACTCACTGCATATTTAGGAATCCCTAGGTGAAGCATTCGTGAGAGTTGGATATCTCACCTCGATTTTAAAATATTCAGTTTCGGAGAGACCATCATCTTCCAAAGTAAACTTTTGAACAACTTTGTCATGAGGAAGTTCTTTCTGATTGAAGTTTTAGTCCATATGTCTTTTCTTTTTTTGGTTTTTGTTCTTTTATTCTCCAAATAATTTTTATTCAATGTTTATTAGGAAAGTGGGGGATGGGAGGACAAGGAAAGGATAAGAAATTTTTTTCTTGTACAGCCAGTTCTCCACAGCCATCAGGTTTCAGGATGCAAGGCATCTATGAAAATCCAAAAAACACAGATACCCTCTTCTGTTCTACAGATTGCATTTTCCAGCTGTTGCTACATTTTTTTCCTTCAATGTTGTTTTTCTTCTTGAGAAGGAAGAGAAGGATAACAACACTGAAGGAGATCTTAGTTGAAACTTGGCAGTTTTGCCTGCAAAGGCAACAGGAATTGATGGTCCTCCTTTTCCTCTCCTCAGCCCATTCCTCCTTTTTCTTTTTGTAATGGTAATACTGGGCAACATTTCACAGGTCTTGTCCTGTGTACTGCTTCTGCTGTGTATTGATTGAGTTGGATGGAAGTGTCATTCCTCAGTACCAAGCTCTCTGTTTTGTCTTTTTATCAGCAGGAAGATCATCAGAGAAATGATCAGAAAAAAGCCAGGCTGGATAAAGAAACCAAATCATTCTCATCATCAGGTCACAAAGATTCCAGTAAAATCAAGTGAGTGCAAAACTGTTGGAAACGTGAGGCTTTTAAAAATCAGCTTGGTGCAACATGGTCTGTTTTTGTGCTTTGGCTTTCGATCCCTCATATCCAAAAGGGATAGATCCCTGAACTTAAAGTTCAAACAGGAAACTATGAATAATAGCAAGCACCATTGAAATTAGTGGCTTCTTCCAAAGGAGCTCCTGGTGGTGCAGTGGGTTAAACCCTTGTGCCGGCAGGACTGATGTCTTGAAGGTTGGGTTGCTGACCTGAAGGTTGCCCGCTCGAATCCAACCTGGGGAGAGCATGGATGAACTCCCTCCAGCTCCATGCAGGGACATGAGAGAAGCCTCCCACAAGGATGGTAAAAACATCCGGCCATCCCCTTGGCAATGTCCTTGCAGACGGCCAATTCTCTCACACCAGAAGTGATTTGCAGTTACTCAAGTTGCTCCTGACACGGAAAAAAAACCCTTCCAAAACTATATATGGACCTATATATTTCTGGGAATTTCCTTTGTCCTGCTTTAAGATTGTATAGTAGCTTTTGGTGGAAACATATCGTGGAATCATCCTAGAAAGATCATACTTTGATATGGGGTACTGTACTGGAGGATCCAGTACAGTCTGTAGAACATAAGCATTGTGTTAGCATCTCGGTTTTGGCATCTCTGAGTGCTTCTACTGTTGAAGCAGTCTGACTTCTCTGAATGCTTAAAAGCTGCTGGGAGTCATAATGCTGTTGCTTCCAGAATTCCCAAACACTACTGTTTAATACATGTATTGCAAAAGAGTTGCCCAATATTTGCCTTGCTAGTAACATTGTATTTGTTCAGATTACTCTTTCCCCCGTTTCTTCCAGAAGTACTTTGTAGCTTCCAAGACCTGCAGTAAGGGGTGCTTGTTGTTTTGGGTTTTTTTAAAGCATGAAGTACTCATTATTTGGGCAAGAAATCCATAAACCTGACCCGGAGAGGTAATCCTACATTTTTGGAGTGGGCAAAAGCAAGATGTATCTGGCTTTCCTACAGCCAGATACATCTTGTGTGAATGTGTCGTTTAAGGCTTTCATGGTCAGAATCACTGGGTTGCTGTGAGTTTTCCCATAGATGTGGGCAAAACGTCAGGAAATAATGCCTCTAGAATAGTGGTTCTCAACCTTCCTAATGCCACGACCCCTTAATACTGTTCCTCATGTTGTAGTGACCCTCAACCATAACATTATTGTTGCTACTTCAAAACTGCATAATTGCTACTGTTATGATGTAGATATCTGATATGCAGGATGCATTTTCATTCACTGGACCAAATTTGGCACAAATACCTGATTTTGTAATTTGGGAGTTGTAGTTGCTAGGATTTATAGTTCACCTACAATCAAAGAGCATTCTGAACCTCACCAATGATGGAATTGAACCAAACTTGGCACACAGAACTCCCATGAGCAACAGAAAATACTGGAAGGCTTCGGTGGGCATTGACCTTGAGTTTTGGAGTTGTAGTTCACCAACATCCAGAGATCACTGTGGAGTCAAACAATGATGGATCTGGACCAAACTGGGCAAGAATACTCAACATGCCCAAATGTAAACACTGGTGGATTTTGGGGAAAGTAGACCTTGACAGTTGAGAGTTGTAGTTGATGGGATTTATAGTTCACCTATAATTAAAGAGCATTCTGAACCCCACCAATGACAGATTTGGGCCAAACTTCCCACACAGAACCCCCATGACAAACAGAAAAGACAGTGTTTTCTGATGGTCTTTGGCGACCCCTCTGATACCCCCTCACGACACCCCCAGGGGTCCCGACCCCCAGGTTGAGAAATGCTGCTCTAGAACATGGCCACACAGCCCAGAAAACTCACAGCAACCCCAAGTGTTGTTTGGGCATTGGATTTGGACCCCAGGATTCAAATGTCTTGTCAGCCCTTGAAAACCACTGGCCTTGTGCAAGTTGTACTCTCTCGGTTTCAAAGGAAGGCAATGGCAACCTCCCCTGCATAACTCTTGCAAGATAACTCTAGGATAGGGTTGAGTTAGAAACAGATGCCAACAACTCCAGCCAGAAGAGGAAAATATGCCAAACAGCTGCTTCATTGGCAGCTCCTGCCCATTCCACAAAGAGAGCATGTGTGTGCCTGCACTTAGGTAGGTCAAACAGCACCAGTGAAATGTTAAGTTTAGCAACGTTCCCTTGCTCCTGTTCCTTCCAAAAGAGATACGAATCAATCAAACAAAAGTTTAGCAATCCTCTGTATATTATCCCAGAGCTCAAGCCAGTCTCAGTCTGTGTGAGCTTATAATTCCCCTCCAAAACTGCAGCTTTCTGACTGCAGTGTTTGTTCAGTGATGTACACAAATTAGACAAACTTGATAAGTTTGGAGCCTCAACACATTTCTCATCCATTCCTTTTTCCCCCCAGCAAATGTTGATTAGCTGCTCTTTGAATATTTTACTTTTTTGTATGCACGGACATGTATGTTTCTGGTACATTGAAAAGGCTTTTCAGAGCAAACACTTTGAAAACTCAGCAAATTGTCTAAATTTATAGGTGTACTTAAAGTAGCTCTTTGGATCCCAGCCACAATAGAGAACAAATGGTTATGGCTTCCAGCAGCCTGAAACTAATCACACCCTTAATAAGCCTATAGATTTTGAAATCATTTAGCTTCAGTTTTCCCTTAAAAGCAAACTTAAATGTGCAATACTCTGTGTGTGTGTGTGTGTGTGTGTGTGTGTGTGTGTGTGTGTGTGTGTGTGTTTGCCTGTTTTTGCTTCTGCATCTTATCAGTATGTTAATGAATTGGCAAAAAGTCCCCAAGTCTCCGCTCCAAGCCCCCATTACTCAAGATGAAGCCTGAACAAAAACAGGCTTTAATTTAAATGCGTGTTGTGCATTTCAATTTGGACACACACTTTACACAACTCTGGGTGGCTCAAAAGTGGTTTGATTCCTCCTCTCTAGGATTTCGAAGCCATCCACAGAGACACAAAGAAAAGAGATGCCACTGCCTCCACCTCCGCCCTTGTCTCCCATTCAGCCTGCCCAAAAGCCAGCCAAGACGACTCACAAGAGGCCAAAGGGAGAGAGCAGTGCCTGCAGCCAGCCTTCCAATCCCATTCTCAGCACTGCCAAGAGCAAGGAAAGCCGCAAAGATTTGTCATCCTCCTCCAAACACAGGAGACTGGAGGGGAAGCCTTCCGAAAGCTCAAAAAGCAACAAAGTAAGTTATAGAAACACATTTCCTCACTATGCGTCCTGGTGACCAAGCAACTTTTGAGCTGCAGAGCTTGCAAATACCTATTTTTGAATTGTAAGGCTGTCTCCCAATTCCTACTTTGCACAGCTGGTCTAGGAACTGCCTTTGCTGTATGTGCATTTCCATCCAAATTAGTAGCTCTTAGGGTGCATCTGCACTGTAGAATTAATACAGTTTGACAACACTTCAACTGTCATGGCTCAGTGTTCTGGAATCCTGGGAACTGTAGTTTGGTGAGGCACCAGCACTCTTGGACAGAGAAGGGTAAAGCCCTTGTAAAACTATGACTCCCGTGATGCCATAGTATTGAGCTATAAGTTAGTGGTACATTCATTCTTCAGTGTAGTTACACTGTGGGTTGTGCTTTTGAAGTGAAAGACATATAAAAACCAGGTCTATCTGTGACCGATTTCCTCTTGGTGAATGGCTAGTGTCAATTTTGGCAATATGATTCAGCACCTTGGATAGATTTTTAAGATGTCAGACCAAAAACACAGAGTAAGTGCAGCATGCTGCTGAACTGGCAACCATTACTCAACATTTCTGGTGTGATAGTAAGGGAAAAATGATAGTAGAGAGATGTTAAAAATGTCTTCATTATGTGGCCCAAGTTTAATATTACTCATTTAGTACATAATCCACTTCCAGAATTAATTGCCACAAGATATGGTGATAGTTTAGATGGCGTTTGTATAAGATTCATAAAGACTGCTGTCAGTAGCTATTGACCATAATAGACCACTAAACCAGAGCTTCCATTTTCCAGAGTAGTAACACTTTGAAGACCGATGTTACCTAGACCTGACCTTCAAGCCTTGGGAGCATCTCTTTGCTTTTGCAAGTCATTCTTTAGTAGGATGAAACATTGTTTAACTTTTCTATTAGAAGCTCCAGCTTTTAGCTGCAAAATTACGATTATAAGATTAGCCCAATAATAATAACAATAATAATAATCATCATCATCATCATCATCTTTATTTATAACCCCCCACCACCTCCCCAATGGGGATTCACAGCGGCTTACATGAGGCCAAGCCCAAACAACAAATTACAACAAAATAAAACCGAAAACGCAAACAATAAACAACAACATAATTACATAAAACATGTGAAAACATAGCAATATAAAATTACAATATAAAATTACAAAATGAAGTAATATCCTTAATCCAACACACATATCACTTAGATCCTTTGAAATGAATGAACTTTGTTGGTTACCCAAGGTAATTAGGTAGGACTGATATTTTATACAGTCCTATATTTTTGTTGAAAGGCACACGTCAGTAAGTAGAGCACATGTTAGTACAGATGTATATATTAAAAACTATTTTTAACCCAGCTCTTTGGAACAAATGGGAGGAAGAAATGAACTTTGCACCTAAATGTGGCCAGGATTTGTTGTCACAAGTTAGTTATCAATCAATTGCTTGAAGGATTGTCGGAGAGCTTATTGTGCTTTTCAGAGTCCGCTCAGATAATTTAAAAGTTCTGCTGTTACCATCATCTAACTTAAAAGAAGGCAGCATGATGTTGAATGAGGAGCAGACAATGTTGGAAGCAAAATACGAGTTGTTTTATGTAAAATTATTCACTCTGGACATGTTTATCAAGAAAAATATAAGGCTTAATATGTTTTTGAGTCTAGAAAAGTACTCATATGCTGCATAATTGCCAACTAAGTTTCCTTTACTTTTTAAAGGGGAAATGGGAGGGGGATGTATAAAATGCATGTTTACTTTGGAAATGCATGTTTTTTCTCATATTTTTGAGCATAACGATCTGACATCATGCCTTTCTGATTTCCCAGGGATCTGCAGAGGATGTTCCAAACCCTTTCCCAGTGCCTTCTTTGCCAAATGGTACCTCCAAGCCAACAAAACCTCAATGCAAGCCATACAAGTAAGAGAAACTTTTTGACTTGAATGTGTCATCTTTTTGAGTTCTTACTTACCCTTTTTCCTTTCCTTGTAAACAACCCTTTAAAATTCTCTGATATCATCGAACACTCAGAAGACAGGGGAATTCCAGACAAGAAACAGTCAGGATTTCCCAACAAAGGATTCCCCTAGGCAGGAAGCAGCCAGGCTTTGAAACTGCAGGGCTATTCAGTGCTAATCAAGCTAGCCAATTGCAATATTCACATTTACCTCAGACAAGAGTCCTTTTTCTCACACTGAACATTTCACAGATATATAAACCTCACTTGCCTGGTTTTCAACAGACCTCACAACCTCCAAAGATGCCTACCATAAATGTGGGTGAAACGTCAGGAGAGAATGCTTCTGGAACTTTGCCATACAGCCTGGAAAACTCACAGCAACCCTGTGTATACCACATTTGTTCTTTGTATCTTATTCTGGTTTTCTGGCTGTTGCAAAACAGAATGTATTGGGATGTTTTGGAACATGGCTCAGAATGTTTTGTACATGTTTAATGTAACTTAAAATAACAAGTTTGGTGTGACGCTGTGTGTTTCTAAACAAAGTGCTTTCTTTAGCATGTGTCTATCTCACTTAGACCATATGGCATGGCTACTTCCTCACTTTTCCTCTTCACAAGCTTATTTAGGAGAAGAAGACCTTTATACTGAATCCAGTTTGAAGGGCTGAGTTGATTTTTTCCTATCAGCTTTCTTTACTGTCCAGCTGTCAGAAAAGTATATCAAAATGGGAAATACAATGGCATGAATCATCATAACATTAGTATTCAATGATGTATCATTACACTTCAGGATTTTATCCAGTTTTTTCATAGCCAAGCAATAGCCATCTTCTGATTTCTTCACTATTCTCCCCATTTTTATTATTGTGATTGACATTTATTCCACTGGAGAGAGAAATTGCACATATTCCTCTCACTTGCACATAGTTTATTATATACAAATAAACTTTTAAAAATCATACACCACATACACACTTATGAAATGAAAAGGTGTGTTTTTAACTATGTGTGAACCCATGCCATTACTGCATATGAACTGAATATCAACCTTTCCAGTGTGCATGTTTTTGCGCACACATCAGTCCTTTATTTATTAACTATTTTTAAAAGTCATGCCCTTGGTTTTGTTTTCCAGACAAAATCCAGCAGAATTTCACTTAAATGAAGCCAAAAGGTTGAAGCACAAAGCTGATGCAATGGTAAGTTCCTTGTTTTTTTTAAAAAAATAGTCATTGTTTAAGAAGGAAATTGTCTTGGGATTACCAGAAAGTTTGCTGGCAAAAATGATGAAGTAAGTGTATTAAGGGTACAGTCATAATATTAGTTAAAACGAATGTAAGTATTGAAGAATCATAAAATCAGAAGAGGCCACAAGGGCCATCCAGTGCAAGCCCATTCTGCTATGCATGAAAACACAATCAAAGCACTCAGGTAGATTATTAGTTCCCTTGATCTAGACCAGGCATGGGCAAACTTTCTGACTTGGGGGCCACATGCCAGCACTCCCTGCTAGGATGATTGACTGCTTGGTAATGGAAGGAAGGAAGAGAAGGAGGAAGGAAAGAAGAAAGGACAGAAAGGGAAGAAGGGATGGATGGATGGATGGATGGATGGATGGATGGATGGATGGATGGAAGGAAGGAAGGAAGGAAGGAAGGAAGGAAGGAAGGAAGGAAGGAAGGGAAGGGAAGGAAAAAGAAGGAAGGAAGGATGAAAGGGTGGAAAGGAATGGAGGGAGGGAGAAAGGGAGAGAGGGAAGGAAAGAGAAAGGGGAAGGAAGGAAGGATGAAAGGGTGTAAGGGAAGGATGGATGGAAGGAGGGGAAGGGGGATGGAGAAAGAAGGAGTGAGGAAAGGAGGGTGAAAAGAGAGAAGGAAGGAAAGACAAACGAGAAGGAATGACGGAGAAGGGTGGAAGGGAATTGAAGGAGGGAGAAAAGAGGGAAGAAAAGACAAAAGAGAAGAAAGGAAGGAAGGAGAGGGAGGGAGGGAGGGAAGGAAGGGTGAAAGGGAAGGAGGGAGGGAGAAAGGAAAGAGGAAGCAAGGATGAAAGGATAGAAAGGAAGGAGAAAGAGGGAGGGATGGAGGAAGGAAAGAGGGAAGGAAGGAAGCGAAGGATGGTGTGAGAGAGGAGGGCCTGAGAAAAGAGTCCAAGGGGTGGCATTTGGCCACAAGGCCTGGGTTTGCCATACCTGATCTAGACACAATACCTTTATAGATGCAGCCAAGAATCGTATTGGCTTTATTAGTTGATGGATCACACTGCTGACTTGTATTCAGCTTGTTGTCTACCGAGACTCCTAGATTCTTTTCACACATACAGTAATCAAAGCAGGTGTCACCATGAAGCAACCCAGAAAAGCAAGCAGTATGGAGAGAATGCATGTGAGATGAAATCATACTGTTGCTGCAGGGTTTTATGTGACAATACTAATAACAGGTACAATCCTGGATGGCCCTGATCAAAATCATATTTTCTCTCTCAACCACATTTCTTATAAGTGGGGGAAAATAGTGGGGGTGGGGTCAGTGTAATACAATTCTCAGGGGTGTTTCAAATGCAAAATAGAAACATGATGGTGTACTGTAAACAATAATATTTTAATTTCAGCCTAACAACTTTGCACAGTCTGGTCTTTCTAATTTTTAACTTATCATTGTATTTTGTTTCAATTTAATTGCATTGCTAATACTTTGAGTACTAGAAAAAAGGTGGGATATATATTTAAAAAGTTTTAAAATTAGCAAAATACAAGTAGCAATACATAGATTGAAAACAGCAGAGCAAACTTTACTATTTCATAACATCACTGCCTAGAGCCTTGTGCTGGCAGGACTGCTGACCTGAAGGTTGGCTGTGCGAATACGGGGAGCAGTATTCTCTCATATTCCCATCTGTCAGCTCCAGTTCTTATGTGGAAATATGAGAGAAACCATCCATAGGATGGTAAAGCATCCAGGTGTTCTCTGAGCAACGTCCTTGCAGATGGCCAGTTCTCTCACACCAGAAACAACTTGTAGTTTCTCAAGTCACTCCTGACATGAAAAAAACTGCATAAACTTCTTTGAGAATTGTTTGGAGGAAGGATCCACATGTTTAAAATAAATGAATGGGAAAGCTATGAGATGGTTCAGTGGACTTTGTCATTTCAAATAGGAGGTAAATAGAAATCAAACCAATTATTATCCCCCCCCAAAAAAAAAAAATACTGCAAAGAGAAAGTTAACACACTTTGCAGTAGACTGTCCTAGAATTTTTCCCTTTGGTGTTCCAGTTTTTAATTTGCAGAGGTTCTTTAAAAACTTCAAAGAAATATTCAGAAGTGTTTCTTCTCCTTGCCGCCTGAATTGATACAGTCCTTTTGGCCCCCTTCATGATTTTATACCCCCATATTTTGGAGCAACTGTAAATTAAGTGGTAATTTTCCCCTTGTTTTCTGTTTTGTATTTGTCCTGCAGTGGGGCAGAATATTGGGATCCGGCTTTTGGACACAGAAAGCACTGGATAATATTTATTCCATTGTGTACTACAACAGTTATTTCCTCTTGGAATGAAACCAATCAGCTGTTCTTTTGTAAAGGACGGCACAGTACAATGCCACTCACAAGTGTGGGGCTGATTGAAGTCCATTTTTTGCCAAGGGAAATGCTCTCTGCATGTGCTAATCCCTGTGTATTTTGGATGCAGTGGAAGGCTATAACAGCATTAGATTCAGGCATTGCTTATTCACTTGTGAAAATAGAGTCTCTTTTCAGAGCTTCTGGGCCCCTACTTTCCTTTTAAAATGCAAATAAGATTTCTAATGATGATGATTATTATTATTATTATTAATAATAATAATAATAATAATAATAATAATAATAATAATATATTTCATTTATATTCCACTCTATCTCCCTGAGGGGACTCAGGTCTGATTACAGAGCATATATACAGCAAACATTCAATGCTGTTATACAATTAACAAGGACAGACAATACATAAACAGAGGTACAGTGTTCTCTCGCTACTTCATGGCTCGCTTTTTGTGGACTCGCTGTTTCGCGATTTTTCTGGCAATGATGGAGTATGGAAGGGGGCTTCACCCTCCCCCTTGGGAGAAAGGCAACCAATCAAGGCAGCTGTGATTTATATACTGTTTCAAGGAGCATTTTCATTCATTTAAAAAAAGAGAATGGAGATACAAAGCAGTATGTAAATCATGGCCTTATAGCCTCTTCCTTATATCTAGCACAAAAAAAAAAAGTGCACGGTGCATTTAAGTCTCTCCTCATTTCTGCCCCCCCCCCCTCTATATATATAGAGAGAGAGAGAGAGAGAGCATCCCTACTTCGTGGATTTTCACTTTTAGCAATAAGTGAGGGAACACTGTATAGGCTTCCCCCACTTTTTCTATCTCTGGCATCTGGAGACTGCTCAGTTCCGGCCACAAGGAGGTGCTGTCGCTGCATCTTCCATGCCGAGGAGCTTTGTTGTCCATAGACGTCCTCCCAAGCAAATCGCCGGCATGTCCTTATGGGCTCCTTTTATTACTTCCCCGCTTCTGACGGCCAGAAGCTTGAACTGTCAGCCTTTCGATTGGAAATATTTTCTGCATCTGGTGGTTTAACCTGCTGTACTAAAGCCCAGACCAAATTTCAGATTTTGGAAGACCTGTATTTGCATATATATAGCTAATGAGATACCTTGGAGATGGGACCCAAGTCTAAATATTAAATTCATGTATATTTCATATACACCTTAAATGCACATCTTGAAGTTATTTTGTACAATATTTTAAATATATTTGGGTTGTTGTAGGTTTTTTCGGGCTATATGGCCATGTTCTAGAGGCATTCTCTCCTGATGTTTCGCCTGCATCTATGGCAAGCATCCTCAGAGGTAGTGAGGTGTATACCTCTCACTACCTCTGAGGATGCTTGCCATAGATGCAGGCGAAACGTCAGGAGAGAATGCCTCTAGAACATGGCCATATAGCCCGAAAAAACCTACAACAACCCAGTGATTCTGGCCATGAAAGCCTTTGACAATACATTAAATATATTTGTTTACATTGAGCCATCCAAAAGCAAAGATATCACTGTCTCAGCTCCCCTGTGGACAATTTCAGATTTTTGAGGATTTCGAAACTCCAACTAAGTGATAAACTGTACAGAAAATCTCCTGGGTGCCTCTTAACTGACCAACACTTCTCCTTTGCAGACAGAGAAAGTTGGGAAGGCCTTCAAGTACTTGGATTCTGCCTTGTCCTTCATTGAATGTGGCATTTCATTGGAGTCTGATCCTGTCTTACCAAAGCCAGCCTACAGCATTTTTGCAGATACCATAGAACTCATCAAGTAAGTGGGCAGCCCTTTCTATGAAACTTCCTGGGGACTAGGGAAGCCTTACTGTTACTTCATTTGTAACCTGTTCTCCAGTCTTCTAGCACATTGGGGTTTGTTACTTAAGCTTAGAGCACAGAAAAGGTCCAAGTTCGGTACCTGTCATTGCTAATTATCAGGATCATATTATAGATTCTTGGAAAGATTCTTGCACTCAACCCATGATAGCTTTTGCCACCCGGAGCCAGCAGTACTGAGTGAGATGATAAGTAGGGTAGAGCCAATCCCAGATATATTTGCTTTGAGGCTGAGTTCAGCTCACTTGGTGCCAGTAATTTGGATCTACACAGTGTGCTGCTCCAAGGAGCAGCTCGCCAATTCATGCTTTGAGGATACTTTTGTTCACTCCAGAGAATCTGGCTATTCTTTTTTCCAATTAATTTGTATTGAAGGTTCCGTAAAGCAGGAAAAATCTGTTATATGTTTTGGCTGTTCATCTAAAGAGCTGGCTTTGGTTGATGATTTTATCAGGTCATGGCTGTTTTCCATGACTCACATTTTATATTTCAGACCTCATACCTTTAGAGGCAAGTGGTGTGATACAAATTTTGAAAATACGTATATACAAATTATTTGAAATTGCTATAGTTTGCTTAGAGAAAATGGAAAGATGTTGTTGGTCTTAGGGTGTATCTTCACTGTAGAATTAATGCAGTTTGATACCACTCTTAACTGAAATGGCTCAATGTTATGGAATCCTAATAGTTGTGGTTTTCCAAAGCTTTGGGCTACTTTGTTAAAGTTCTAGGGCTGTACTTATGGGTCCTAAATGGTGCCTAAGGGCCATAGGTCACATTTTTATTGATTTTTCTTCTAGAGGAAAAAAGTCTTCCCCCAAAGGCCACAGAGATGTTTCCTTTTTTTTCTACTCTTGGAGGAGTCACAACTAAGAACTTTCTGTCTATCCATCAAAGACTCCACCTTCCCAGTGGTCATATTGTTATACTTTATTTTATAATTAGAAAGGGATACTGTTACAGCCAAAGGTACCTATAACAGCTAGATGTGAATTATCTAAATGAGGAGAAATTTTAAAAAGTACAAGATGTGAAATTTAGATGCCAAAAACATGTTTTGGACATCCAAGCCAAATAGTTATTTCCTCTACATCGACGTGGCCATAGAAGAAAGGGGTTGTTTTGGTTACTGGTTATGCAAGTAAGAACTTGATGTTGTTATTATTAAAAACAGCACTAATTTTGTTTTCTCATAGGTTCATAATGACATTAAAATCCTTTGCGGACTCTTCAACAACCACGCCAGAAAAAATCTTCATTGTGTTTTGGTGAGTGGGACACTGTTCTGTTTTTAATTTTAATTTTTAACCAGTTTAATTTGAGAATCATAGACTCACAGAGTTGGAAGAGACCTTCCAGTCCAACCCCTTGCCAAAAAGCAGGAAAATTAGTTTATTTATTTACTATACTTGTATACCGCCTTTCTCAGCGTATCGGTGACTCAAGGAGGAAAATCTAATTCAAAGCACTGACAGATGGCTATCCAGCCTCTGTTTAAAAGCCTCCAAAGAAGGAGCCTCCACCACACTCCGGGGCAGAGAGTTTCACTGCTGAACTGCTCTCACCATTAGGAGCTCTTCCTCATGTTCGGGTGGAATTTCCTTTCCTGTAGTTTGAAGCCATTGTTCTGCGCCCTAGTCTCCAGTGCAGCAGAAAACAAGCTTGCTCCCTCCTCCCTATGACTTCCCCTCACATATTTATACATGGTCCTCATTATGTCTCCTCTCAGCCTTCTCTTCTTCAGGCTAAACATGCCCAGCATTTGAAGCCACTCCTCATAGGGCTTGTTATCCAGACACTTGATCATTTTAGTCACCCTCCTCTGGACACATTCCAGCTTGTCCACATCTCCCTTCAGTTGCGGTGCCCAGAATTGAACACAGATATTTCCAGGTGTGGTCTGACCAAGGCAGACCAAGCATGTAAGAGAAAGGTTGCTAGCTGTAGGGAGCTTTCTTTCATTCACATGAACATACACTGAACATACACTGGTATATATGGATTTAAAATAAAATAGGAATGGGAAAAGCCTTAGCCTAGCCTTGGAAAGGCTCTGGCCTCCTTTCCTTTTGTATTCTGATGTCACCAAATTTATGCTACCAAAATGAGCAAGACCGCAACTCTCATTATCTCCTTCCAACATGGCCATTGGCCAGCTGGTAGATACTAGAATGGGAAAGGTTCAATGATGCTGGCATGTCCTAATTTTCTTATCTTCTTATTGTATGCTTTTTCTGGAAAAAAGGTGAAAACAAATGTGAAACCCACTACGAAAAGCATAGTACATAATCATACTATACAATAAGCTGGAAAAGGCGGTATACTCTTTTTTTTTCTTTCTTTGTGTGATGGTGATGCATACTTTTTCCACTGGCTTAAATAAGCTTTAAGTTTTGGTAGAACTTGGTAAAATTACTTCTCTGGATTATCACTCCCAGAATATCTTATCCCAACCTTGGCACAAATACATCGCATTTAATTGTTGTTCTGTTGTGCTGTGTTGAATAAGTTTCCATCTGTACTTTAAGAGCTCAATTTTTGCCCCTGATTGTGCTGAACAACTACTACCCATGTTACCATCTATTCCTTGGCATCTGCTAATTTGGTTGCTAATTGCACATGTGGGTTATAGGAAATGGAATAGCACGGGGGAACTCGAATATAATTCAACAGGACCAGGGAACATTTGGAAAACAAAGCCATGGCAAACCGAAATTGTAACATGGCATGCAAATCGCAATGATCCTTGGTCTATTATCACAGGTACCAAATGCGTCATGGAGGAGGGAGAGGCTTCCGTTAACCGAGGAGCCCCCATAGAAGTCGTGGTGGGGATGGGGAGATACGGGAAAGGGAGACCTTCAATTCGGCCTAGGGAACGTGGAACAACATTAGTAATTCCAAATCGATCTCCTGATATGGTAAGTAGGTGTAACCAGGATGGCGGGCCCTCTGGATTGAAAGTGGTGCTGTTGAACGCCAGATCTGTCAACGGTAAAACAACTTTCATCCAGGACTTAATTCTGGATGAACGGGCAGATCTGGCGTGCATCACGGAAACCTGGCTGGACGAAGCGGGAGGCGTAAATTTGACCCAACTTTGTCCACCCGGGTTCTCTGTGCAGCACCAACCGAGATCCGGAGGGCGGGGAGGCGGAGTTGCAGTAGTCTATAGAGATTCCATTTCTCTGACCAGGACCCCCATCCCGCAGTCAACAAATTTTGAATGCGCCAGGCACACCTGCTCCCTCCTCCCCACTTGGAGTCTCAGAAAACAGCCCTCCCCTTGGCTGAGAGGCCGGCAATCACAGTGGAGGAGGGCTTTTGATAGAAGGATTTGCAGTCTATTTCCAAAAAGGAAGAGAAGGACAGGTGAAGAGATCTTCTGCCATCTCTGCCAAAGGGGTTCCTAAGACCATCAGAGATACATTTTCTGATGGTCTTTGGTGACCCCTCTGCAACCCCCTCGTTACCCTCCCCCAGGGGTCCTGATCCACAGGTTGAGAAACACTGATTTAAAGGAGTCTTCAGTTGCAGTCGCAGAAGAATACCTTTCTGCTTTCAAGAGTAGCATTGCCAAACTTCCATGGAGACTAGGAGACTAGGACGAGGAACAATGGCTTCAAACTACAAGAGAGGAGATTCCATCTGAACATGAGGAAGAGCTTCCTGACTGTGAGAGCCGTTCAGCAGTGGAACTCTCTGCCCCGGAGTATGGTGGAGGCTCCTTCTTTGGAAGCTTTTAAACAGAGGCTGGATAGCCATCTGTCAGGGGTGATTTGCATGCAATATTCCTGCTTCTTGGCAGGGGGTTGGACTGGATGGCTCATGAGGTCTCTTCCAACTCTTTGATTCTATGATTCTATAAACTGGATAGATCAATCATCTGACTCATTGTAAGGCAGGCTCATAGCTTCTGTGTTCATTGTGTTTCCACAGCATGCGCTGCCAAGCCATTCTGTACATGGCCATGTTTCGCTACAAAAAGGACACAGCAATAAAGTATTCGCGGACCCTTAATGAACACTTCAAGGTAGAGGATAAAAGCATTAATTTCAAAGTGATGGTGGAATGTGGTGCTTATAAAAACCTTTCAAAAACGGAAATTGGCCTTTGAATGACTTCTTCTGATATGTTGTGGTCGAGTGGCTTGTGCACCTGGGAGCTGCAAACTTATACATGATCGCAGCTTCCCAACTGTGAAAAGAAATTTTTTTGCATAGTAGCAGCAATCTTAACATGAATGTGTGGCTTCTCCCATGTGACTACTGTAGGTCACTTCAAGCAGAGTATAGTCTGGTTCAGGCATAATAATAATAATCTAATTGCATTGGATAAAACTCAGACAGAATGTGCATGTTTTCCTCTCTCATTTGGTCCTGTCTTTCATGAGCTGTATTCAGTGTTTCAGGGCTGGTGGTAACAGAAAATTGCCTTTCAGTTCCATTCAAACTAGGATACCGTTATTTAAATTCTAAATACAAACCAAGATTGCATAATTGGTCCTGGTTTGAACATGTAGGTTGTAGTTAGACTTTAAGTTATAATTTCCAAGTTTGTACTTAATCAGAAACTGCTGCATTGAGGCATACAAAAGAGGACTTGAATTAAGGCACATGACAGGACTCTTGAATTAAGGCATACAAAAGAGAAACGGAGAGTGCACAAGCACAACACATTAGGAGGCGTAACTTTAGTGACTTGTGTGTCTTAAACACACACATTGTTGGCTCTTCGTACCTATAAATTCTGTATCCACAGATCCAATCGTTCACAGCTTGAAAATATTAAAAAATAATTAATTCCTGCAGGAGAATCTTGATGTTTATTTTTTTTATATATAATAGACACCATATACTGTGTCATTAGGAGCCCCCAGTGGTGCAGTGGGTTAAACTGCTGAGCTGCTGAAATTGCTAACCGAAAGGTTGCAGGTTTGGATCCGGGGAGCGATGTGAGCTCCCGCTGTTACAGTAGCTCCAGCTTCTGCCAACCTAGCAGTTCGAAAACATGCAAATGTGAGATCAATAGGCACCACTCCGGCAAAAAGGTACAGCGCCCCATGCAGTCATGGTGGCCACATGACCTTGGAGGCATCTACAGACGCCAGCTCTTCAGCTTAGAAATGGAGATGAGCACCACCCCCCAGAGTCGAACACAACTGGACTTAATGTCACGAGAAAACCTTTACCTTTACTTACTATGGCATTGCATATAATAGGGCTTTAACATCCACAGATTTTGGTATCCACAGAGGACTCTGAAACCAAACCCCAGTGGATACCAAAGGCCCAGTGTATATCTCTTTCTAAACAGGGCACTCTGTATGAAATCTCCCTCTGGGAGGATCTGGTGTTGATGCTTACAAGTGGAGATGTGAAGGGGATACACTTCAGTCTGTGAAATTGCAGCTGCTCTGGGCTCAAGATGCGCTCAATCTGTGAGAGCATCCAAATCTAGACCAGCTACTTCTTGGTCATCTGAATTGCCTCCTTTCCCTCTCTTTTTTGGGGGGTTTGACATCTGTTAAGAGTGGGGAGAGCAGCAAACCTTGCAGGTAGAGCATTACGCTTTGCCTCCCTGATGTAGGATTTTAGCCAAGGTTTGATAAGCTGGAGTTTTATCAGACCAAGGTTATTTCTTCTGAACATAGCTATGTAAAGATCTTTCTTCTTTGGCAGACCTTGAAGGACTGAGTGCTCAGGGAGAAAGGGCCGTTCATAGACTCCTTTATTTATTGTTCTTTTTAATGGTTAGTTTTTATGGGTTGAAAGTTTATTATTGGGAGGACAGCAGGGTATAAGTAAATAAAAGAAGTGACAATGACTATGGAGATGATTGTCATGAACTAAGATGTAAATCTTGCACCTGAATTTAACAGACAAGCTTGATCTGCCTTAGAAGTTCATTATGTTATGTTTTCATTTCCTTATATCTTGGATACATGTTTGGTTTACATCTGGCATCTTCTAAGATGGCTTCAAAGCTTTCAACTTGCAAACTGGTCAAACTGATGAAATTATGAAATAACTAGAATTTCATTTCTTGTTCCAGAGTTCTTCAAAAATAACTCAAGCACCTTCCCCATGTGTCGCAAGGTAGGACTGAATGTACACATTATTTAAAAAAGGAAAACCTGAATTTTTAATTGTATGATTCAAGCTCTATCCTTTGAGTTTAAATGAATTTTAAATCAATTTAATGAACATGGTTATGATGGTATACTAGGGGTTTCTGTTGCTCTTTGCACTTGAAACTCATAACTGTACTTTCAACTTACAGTCCTGTACTCCACTAAAGGGGATTTTGATTTCCAATGGATTATTTTCAATGAATTCTCCTTACAGAATACTAATTACAACATTCCATAAAACTCTCCTTTGAGGAGAGCTTGGCAAAGTTACTCTCTTTGGGGGGGGGGGCTGTTGGTGCCACAGAGAAGGGCAATGACAAGGTCCTCCTGGGCCTGTTGGTGCCATGCTGGCCTTGAGAAGGGCAATGGCAAGGTCCTCCTGGGCCTGTTGGTGTTGTGCTGCCCTTGAGGAGAGCTATGGCAAGGCCCTCCTGGGCTTGTTGGTGCTGCAACAGCCTAGAGTAGGGTGATAGCGAGGCCCACCTGGGCCTGTTGCTGCCACACCAGCCTTGAGGAGGGCTATGGCAAGGTCCTCCTGGGCCTGTAGGTGCTGCAGCAGCCTAGATCCCCAAATCCATGAGACTGAGCAGTGCTTCTGGAAACAGTGGTTCCCAAAAGTATCTATTTCAAGTTCCCATCTAGAGTTGTGTGAACCTATTGGGATAATAATATCTGGACATAGCCAGGCTTTATGTGGTAGGTTAAAAGGACTATATCCTACATTGTTAGGACTGCATGCTGACAGGTAAAGAGAGGACATTTTATTGCCCAGATTCACAAGTGATACATGTTCATTAAGTATGTCTTTACCGAAAAAAGCCAGCAGATAGAAGACAATCTGTGTGTCTGAATAACAGAATGCCAAAGCTCATCTTATGAAGACAGCATTGTGGATATTTTCTCAGATTAAATAGGATAAAATTTTGCAGCATAGATGCTTCTCATACAGAATACCTTCCTATTTCATCCCTGGATTTTTGTGTTCCCCTTCCCTGAACAGATATGTATTTCTGCAAAATGTGAGGCTCCTTTTTGCTTTCTGTCTCAGTAGACCTGCTTTGGCACCCTACTCTTCTACCTTCACATTTGAATTCAATCAGTTAGAAATGGTGATAACATTCCCTGTTGTCTTTTGTCCTCCAGGAGTACGGGCACGCCTTCTCCTCTTTCCCCGATGCCCTCTCCAGCCGGCTCTGTAAGCTCCCAGACAGGCTCCACTGCCAGCAGCTGCGGGAGTGGTGGCATTGGCTCTTCCATCAACGTTCCTCCTTATATCCCAACCATCACCTCTTCCTTTGTCAACATCACTTCCTATATTCTCTATGCCTATGATCTCTGGGAACAAGCTGATGTTTTGGCCAAGAGGAATAAGAGTAAGCATCGACTCCCTTGCATTATGGGTAATAGTTGTGCATGCAGCATCTTGAAACTTTGTTTTTCCATTTGGAAGGGCCCCATAGCATAGCTGGGAAGAAGGCTGGTATAATACTATGGAGAGCTGCTGGCATGCAAAGTAAATTGTCAACTGAGCTAGATGAATCAGTGCTGACTTAGACAGATTCAAGACAAGATAGGAGCAAGATCTTCACATCAGTATTAGCAGATGTTGTAGTGATGCAAGAAGGGTGTGAGCACACATTTGTATAAATGCAAGGTCATATTGGAATAACCAGTGTTGATTGGCAAGATATTGTTAGATCACATCCCCTGCATATTTATCAATGCTTGGCTACTTTCAATCTTTGTTCTGTTTGACTTCTGCTGCTATTGCACCTAAAGTAAACATTTTTGCTAAGTAAATTTGATTCAGCCCTAACCAGCACTTGAATTGAGATGTCGAGACCTTCCACACTGCAGAATTATTGTAGTTATCATAGGGAGAGGGCCTTCTCAGTAGTGACCCCTTGACTCTGGAACTCACTGCCCAAGGACATCAGACATGCCCCAACTTTGGCAGTCTTTAGGAGGAGCCTGAAAACGTGGTTGTTCCAGTGTGCCTTCCCAGAATAAGGAAATACTGTCAGCAATAGGTCCTCTAAATGCACTTTATCATTGATTTAGGAGTGTTGGCTCGCCCCATCTCTCACCAAAATTTTTATCCCAGTATATTACCTTGTTCATGCCCAGCATTAATTTTTAATTATCAGATTTGGCCCAGCCATAGGTTTTTAAATGCTTGTTGTTACTGTTAATTGTTTATTTTTATGAGATTTATTTTGATTGTTTTGTATTGATGTTTTGTTATTGCTTTTATTATTGTTGTTCTATGGGCTCGGCCTCATGTAAACCGCACCGAATCCCTTGGGGAGATGGTAGCGGGGTATAAATAAAGTTTTTATTATTTTATTATTATTAGTTTGACACCACGTTACCTGCCATGGCTCCATCTTATAGAATCCTGGGACTTGTGGTTTATTTGTCAGAGTTTTCTATCAGAAAAGGATAAATATGTCAGAAATATACAAATCCCAGAATTCCATAGCATTGAGCCATGGAAGATAATGTGGTGTCAAATTGCTAAAGTTTAGCAGTGTGGATACAGCTTATGTCTAGTGTTTGATTCTTTTTGGACAAAATGACACAGGGGACTATTTTCTTACTCTTCAGGTACCATCTAGTCCCTGTTTGAACTCCTTACTGGTGGGTAGGGAAAGGGAAGCAAATTCGGAAGAGGAAGTGGATGGTCTTCGTTCCAAAGGAAAAAAGAAAAAAGATGTGCCCTCCATTTGGGAACACACTTTTTGTTTCTTCCTTCCTACAGGCCCAGACCAGCAGCATCTTCCTCCTTCAGCTTCCCCTTTCCCTCCCCAGTGCTCAATATATTGTCATTATTTCCCTTTTGTAACCTTACACACAGCAATGGGGAAATCTGTTGATTTATTTAAGAGTTAATCTCCCCCCCCCTCAAAAAAAAAACCTGAGTATTGGTAAATGAATAGCAACTGTTATGAAGCCAGATGTGAAGCAAACATTTCTTCTCCACCTCGTCTCTTTCAGAATTTTTTTCTGATCTCAACGCTGCCGCCTGCAACCTCTCACTGAACAGCAGTATGATCGAACTGGTACACTACACCCGGCAGGGTTTGCAGTGGCTGAGACTGGAACCAAATACGCTTTAATCGGTGCATCGTGACAACCTTGCCTTGGATTCTTTTGCACTTTGAATGCCTCAAAAACAGCCTTATTGGCGGACTGGTTGAGTACAAAAAAAAAGCACCTGGAACAAGGTAGAATGAAGCATGATGGTAGAGATCTGGTACCACTGGAAAACTTTTTTAAAGACTATATTTTTCTGGTGCCAAGTGGAGAAGAGGCCTCAAAGTGGAGGATGCCTTCCTTTCTTTCTTTCAATGGACAAAGTGCAATTTTCTCTTCTTATTTTTTGTTTTCTTTTTCTCCCCCATCATGGTTTCATTGTGTCAATGGTCTAAAAACATTTCTACAAATAAATAACCAGCAAGACAAAAAAGAAAACCAACTAAGGAATCAATCTACATGAAGAAGTGCCAGTGAGAAGGAAATCTGCCTCCCAAAGAATTTTCCGCAACACCTCAATTGATGTAAAGATGTTTGTGGGCCCAGTGTAAGATTAATTCCCCACCACCGTACACTGTTTTTTGCTTTGAGGGAAAACCAAAATGAAGTTTGTCATATGCCTTCTGGTTACAGGTGGGTGGGACGAACAGAGGGAACAGAAAGGAGGAAAGAGGAGACCTTCATCAGCACAACTTGGCCTTCTGCCTGAATGCAAGCTCCCGCTCCCCCTCTTTTCTTGGATTTTTAAATATAAAATGGCTCTCCACTTGCTACCTGTAGCTGTTTGTTGCACTAATAATGCCCCCTTTCCTGCTGGTTGATGTGTGGCCCATAGTAAGCCTAGCTGTGCTTCCCAGGGTTCCCCCTCTCTCTCTCTCTTCCTTCTTCCATCTTTCTTACTCTTGCGTGGCAGCCACAGTGCAGCAGTCTCAGTTGTCCTGTTTTCCTTGATATTGCATGTTCTTGGGAAGCATGGACAGATTTCACAAAGGGAAACAGGAATGCTGGGCTGTCTGCCAGAAGCCACATGGGCAGAACATGAAGTGTAGGTGATGTTAACCCCTCCCTTAATGGGTCTGCAAGTTGCTGTGTGGGCTAGTTTGTCCTGCAAATGAATTGAGCAATACTCCACTGAAGAACTGAACTGGAATTGCTTGCAACTCACCGACATGAAGTACTTAAAAAAAACAAACACTGTTCTTTCATGTTTCCTATTCCTGGTCCATACAGTGGAGACATCACAAAATGTTTCAGTAAAAGGGTCTTAGTCCAGCATACTTTAGGGTTGCAGGAGATTTCTTTACATAGGAAGAAGTCTTTAAGGCAGTGGTTCTCAACCTGTGGATCTCGGACGTTTTGGCCTTCAACTCCCAGAAATCTTAACAGCTGGTAAACTGGATGGGATTTCTGGGAGTTGTAGGCCAAAACACCTGGGGAACCATAGGTTGTGAACCACTGCTCCAAGGCTTCCTTACGCCTTTATATTTGAAAGAAGCCTGACTGGACTACCAGAAAGGCCAATACTAGCTGTCTAATTTCATGTTTCCAGTTTGGATCCATTAAAAAAAAATGGGAGAAACATTGGAGCTTGTCATTGCAGTCCACTTTCTCTGAAATTATAGATGGTGATTTCCTTTGGCTGTTGCTGGGTTTCAATTTATGCTGGCAGGTGGAAGACCAGATATATCTTCCTTTTAAAACATTTCCATTTCCCCAAACTGTTTTGAACCACCCCATCTCCTGATCTAAAGTAAGGAACCAGCAATTTTCATTGGTTGACCAGCAAATTGTTTCCTCCTTCTACACATTATAGCTTTTCCAACAGAAGCGTGTGCCTTGAAGACTGCTACACTGCTGTCTTCTTTCCCTAATTTAGAGTAATACTGATTAAAGAACTCATTTGTTCCCTTCTCTCAGTGGTGCCTTAAACACTCCCATCAGTTTCTGTCGTCAACTGACCAGTCAAGACAGATCAATGGGAATATCTTCCAAATAAATTGTTCTTGAGTATGGTACCAGTTTTTTTGGTTTTTTTGCGTACTCCCAGGGTCTATATCTGGTCATTCTTGTGTGGTCACCCCATATAAGAACAGAATTTCCCTTTGTATGAAATTGAAGCTGTGCTCCTGTTTAGCAGGATTGGTTCTGTACCTCTGGGAATTGCTTAAATGCAATTCCGAAAGGTTATCTTCCTCATCTCAAGATGAATTTTTCTTGGAATGTATTCTAAGCGTAGCATTAAGCAAGCAGGTCTTACAGATGGTCTTGAGGAACATTAAAGCCTTACGTAGGGTCCATAATGTTGTCTCCCTTTTTTGTATAATTGAAGTGCTGTGAAAAAAAAATTAAAATGCAGAGGACACAATTTGAAGTGGCAAGCATTCAAAATATTGCTTTCATTCTGCTTTCCTCTTGTGCTGCAATTCATTTGCATCAGGAACCATAATTGGAGAGATGGCATGAAAGAATGAGAAGGCATCATTTCTTCTCTTTTACACCCATTGGGTAGAGAGAGATGGATCTCTCCTCTCCATCCCAGAGCTTTCCTTGTATGTCAGTTTGTAAAACAGAGGTATAATGCAACTTGAAGTTGTAAACAGGAACTGAAATCAGAATCACTGTCAACATTTATTAGCCACAGACTGGGAAAAAGAGCAATTTGGGATGTTAGCCCTTCTACATGGTTAAATTTCTTCCAAGTCTTATCATGGTATCAACTTGAATGTTTTCAACCTCCTCGGTCTGGCAAAGAAGCCAGCAAACACTAAACCTGCTTTACCTTTTTCTTCTTTCAAATCAGGTTCGCGGCTTTTCCCAGCCAACTGACCTCTGTGTAGTCTCAGGACTTTCCTTCTTCTCTTCACCCCACGCACCTTATTGCTGCTGCTTTTGCTCTGTTAAATTATATCTTGAAATTAGCAATCCCCAGTTGGCAAGGGACCCACTTTATAGACTGCCTGTTGAGCACTTTACGCAAGTGATAATGATGATCTGTGATGCTCCCTGTTCTATCCTGTCATCTGGTTCCCAAATGGTGATTGAGATTCAGATAGCAGCCTTTGTCTCAGCGCTGCTGGTTTTATATCCCTATGGAGTGATGCCAAAATGAGCCATCCCCATGGGTTTATCTGGAAACAAAAACAAAATCAGTTTTGGTTGACGACCAGGATGGCCTGGTCAAAAAAACAAACAAAAAAGCCAAGTTGGGAGCGCAGGATCACTTTTAATTTTTACAGGTGTTACAATGACGCTCCTAAGAAAACCTTTTTCCTGTACATTCTGCAATTTCTTTTTATTGTATGTACAATTACAACTAAGTAGTTGGTCAATAGGGATCATGTTTAGAAATCTCATTCTTGGCTTTTCTTCCTCTTTGAGTTTTATATAACAAAAGACCAACTGAATGAATGAGAAAAACAGAACTTCGTCACTAAACTGGTACTCAAAACACTGATGGAACTCCCACGACTTCTGAGCAGAGATTTGGAGCTTTCTATCCGAGGAGCAAGAAATGAATTGTTCTGCCATTTTAAACACAGGTCAATGGAGCTGAGCACTCAAAGCAGCCTCCTTCACCCGATATTTATTTAGAATTATAATTAATGTATTTAAATTGTCAATGTTCTATATGTCACAGATGCTATTATTTAATGATTTTCAAGTTCCATTGACACTGGAGACGTGGACTGAAAGCTAAATTGATGACAATTTAATTTTAAAAGGGCAATTCCCCTTCCTCCCTCACCCTTCCCCTTACTGTTTCCTTGGTTTCTTTATATATAAAAAAATCTGTACATTTAAATTTATTATGGGGTGTTGTGTCTCCATCTTGTAAATAACATTTTTTTCTTCCCTGTATATTGGTGGTATTTCCAGGTTGATTTGTTTAATTCATGTGGGGTAATAAAATATTAAATGAAATGGCCTTTTGTTTGCAAGTTGCTTGGTCTTTTAAAACTTTTTTTATTAGTAACGAAAGCAGTGCCCATTTTATATTTCCTGTACAACAGTGTTTCTCAACCTTCCTAATGCTGCAACCCCTTAGTCCAGTTCCTCATGTTGTGGTGACCCCCAACCATAAAATTATTTTTGTTGCTACTTCATACTGTAATCTCTCTACTGCTATGAATTGTAATGTAAATATCTGATATGCAGGATGTATTTTCATTCACCAGACCAAATTTGGCATAAATATCTGATATGCCCTAATTTGAATACTGGTGGGGTTGGGAAGGTATTGATTTTGTCATTTGGGAGTTGTAGTTGCTGGGATTTATAGTTCACCTACAATCAAAGAGCATTCTGAACTCCACCAGAGATGGAATTGAACCAAATTTGGCACACAGAACTCTCATGACCAACAGAAAATAATGGAAGGCTTTGATAGGCATTAGCCTTGGGTTTTGGAGTTGTAGTTTACCAACATCCAGAAACCACTGTGGACCCAAACAATGATTGATCTGGACCAAACTTGGCATGAATGCTCAATATGCACAAATGTGAACACTGGTGGAGTTTGGCAAAAATAGACCTTGACATTTGCTGGTATTTATAGTTCACCTACAATCAAAGAGCATTCTGAACCCCACCAACAATAGAATTGGATCAAACCTCCCACACAGTACCCTCATGACCAACAGAAAATACTGGGATTTGGGAGGAATTGACAGCAATTTAAGGGAGGTCATGCCTGCTCTCCCCTCCCCACTTGGAATCTCAGAAACAACCCTCCCCCCCCCCCCTTGGTTGAGAGGTTGGCCAATCATAGCAGGAGGAGGGCTTTTTGGTGGGAGGATATGCAGTCTGTTTCCAAAAAGGAAGAGAAGAAAAGGCAGAGAGATCTTCAGCCTTCTCTGTCAAAGGGAAGGCTTAAGACCATTAAAAATATGTGCTTTCTGATGGTCTTTGATGACCCCTCTGAAACCCCCCTCGTGACCCCCCAAACCCCAGGTTGAGAAACACTGCTTCAATGGCTAGTGCTCCAGGTCAAGTCACACAAAAAATACCATTGCTGCTTCTATGTGCCTCCAAGCTTGTATGCATCACACGCGATACCGCTTTGGTTGGCTTTCTGACAAAAAGCCAACAAGGCAGTTATGGAAATGTTACAACTTCTCAATGGAAATAAATCAACCCCAATTTCCACAGATAAATTATAATTATAATTTCACAGCAGGAAATGACCCCTTGGAATGGTTAACCAAGACAATGACAAGCAAGCAACAGAGTACAAAATGTAGTGCCTCTGCCCAGCATCTGGGGACCAGTGTGAAATACGCCTCTACAAGAGGTTTTGCTATTACAGTTACAGATGCATATCCTACAATTAAGACATCTATAGCTGGTTCATTTTCATGGCCTTTATGTACAGGCAGCCCCCAAGTTATGAACAAGGTAGGTTCTATAGGTTTCTTCTTAAGTTGAATTTGTATGTAAGACAGAACAAGTACATTTTTAAAGTGTAACTCCAGCCAAAAATATTTTTAAGCCTTGTATGTGGCGCAGTGGGTTAAAGCACTGAGCTGCTGAGCTTGTTGATCGAAAGGTCGCAGGTTCGATTCCGGGGAGCGGCGTGAGCTTCCGCTGTCAGCCCTAGCTTCTGCCAACCTAGCAGTTCGAAAACATGCAAATGTGAGTAGATCAATAGGTACCGCTCCGGCGGGAAGGTAACGGCGCTCCATGCAGTCATGCTGGCCAACATGACCTTGGAGGTGTCTACGGACAACGCTGGCTCTTCGGCTTAGAAATGGAGATGAGCACCACACCCCAGAGTCAGACATGACTGGACTTAATGTCAGGAGACTACCTTTACCTTTACCTTATAGCATAGGGAAGGGTTAACACCCCTGTGGTGTTAGTCTTGCTGTCTGTGCCTCAGTTCAGAAGATTTTGCCTCACTTTCTGCCCCTATGATAATTGGATTATGAAAAAATTGGCTTGTGGTGGAAACAAGGTTTGATGAGAAAGCTTCAGTGGAAACACCTTCTCCCCATGATAATTCTTTCAAAAGTGACTTTCCCTTCCTGGAGGTAGATTTCTCTCATTTCCTGTTATCTCACCCCCATTTTTAATTATGAGTAGTTTGTAAGGCATATGTTTGTAACTCAGACACTGCCTATTATTTATGATCGTAGCACTATTGCAACAGTCATAAGGCTCCAATCTTGCGTTACCTGGCAGCAGCTGCTGTGAGTGATGGAGGTCAGTTCTAGGGACTGGTACATGTTGACACCCCTTTCTGCTTGTAATTTTCAATGTGTGAAACTACAATAAGGATCCTGCTTCTGAATGATACACCAGAGATTGCTAGCAAGAAAGATATTAGAAACAATACCCCTATTGACAGAACAAACCACCAACATTTCTTGCAGCTGCTGCTTGGTACAGCAGCTTTTTGAGGGGTTGGGAAGACACTAAACTATACTATACTTAATTTAGTAGGCAATCTAGGATCTTAGCCATGTAAGTGGTGATGTTCTACATGTGTTTCCCAATGAATTTAATGATAAAGTAGTGCAGCTGAGCACGGTTTTTAAAAACGTGAGATACAAGCATGCTAACATTGGAATATTTTTGTTTGTGGAAATACACGGGAATAATTTTGTACAATCGGGATGTGCCAGTTCCATCATACTGATCACTTTATATGTTTTCTCCCAGAAGCTTGTATAAAATTGATCTAGGCAAATACTAAGCTTGTGTTATTTTTACTTTAAAAATATTTAATGTATTGCAACCGTAGAAATAAGGGATGGGTTAGTACCAGTTAGTTATTTCCTGCAATTCATACTTGTTCAGTTAAACAAAAAAACTTGACGATTGGAATAGCTCCCATTAATTAACTCATTAGAATCTGTCTAGTAAAATCAGGTGTGAGTTACTAGAGACATGCTTCCAATGGATTGCAAGTGTGATAGAGTGCTGGAGCTTCATTCGATACAATGTCCTGTGGACATAGCCTGAAAGGACCAGCAAAGTGCTACACATTGCCCAATGAGGGATATCTCAGGGCTCCCAAAAGCTGAACAGTCACATGACTTTGTTCTGTAGGACTTCTTTTAGATAGGTAAAGGTTTTCCCCTGACATTAAGTGTCCGACTCTGAAGACTGGTAATCATCTCAGTTTCTAAGCCAAAGAGCCGGCGTTGTCCATAGACACCTCCCAGGTCATGTGGCTGGCATGACTGCATGGAGCGCCATTACCTTCTCGCCGGAGCTGTGTTAAGAACATTAATGAGGTCTAGTGGCTTGATTAATGGACCTCAACTCTGCCTACCAGGCACCCAACCCATACGCAGCCATGAAATGCACTGGAAGGTAAAGGCAAGCTCACCCTGAACAATCCTTGCCAAGAAAACCCCTTGATTAGTTCAGCTTAAGGTCACCCAAATTGGCGCAACAACAGTGTCCAGTGTCTACATATCCCAAAACAACTACTTCTGATTTTTCAATGCACCACATGCTATTAGCCAACAAAACAAAAAAAAGAACATCAAAGGTTCCTGTTGACTCCTGGAATAAGCAACCTGCTACTCCCAATCTCTACATCTTGTGCTCCAACTTCATAGTCTCTTTATTTATTACAATAATTTTAAATTAATCTGTTTAAAAACACCGAACTATTGCATGGAAAACAAGTAATCATTGAATAGCATACATTTAAAAACTTTACTAGTTTTTATATGTATATAAATAGCATACATTTAAAAACTTTACTAGTTAGTAAACTAGCCTGGGCTAGTTTACTAACTAGCCCAGGCTCGCCTCTGTCTCAACCAGAATCCACACTGCATGTAATCTATCTCTCCAGCCCATATGTTGTTAATAAACTTGGCTGCAAAAAGAATCCCAGGCTGCCCCTCTAGAGCGATTCGAAAGCTACAGCTGAAAACATAATGTGCAGTAAAACACTTTTCTCAATAGCCCCATTTTTATCAAATGCCAAAAAGTGAATACAAATTGAAGAGTAACCACTCAGCAACTATTTCTAATCTATTTATTCTGGCAAAGGAATATATCAAGATATTACACCCGCTCCATCTAAAGACTGACTCAGTCTCTCAAGACAAGAGCATTATAACGAGTATGAAATAGACTGTGAGGTCCAAAATCCTACTTCCAAGTGCCTTCCATATGAAATCAGCCCTGCGCATAAGCCAGGAGGGGTAAAACAGCTCCGCATTCTTATAAATAACCTTTGCATACTAACTGAAAATGCTTGCCCTATGCATACACTCTGCAGAGGTAATTTGAGAAGCTGAAACAAAAAGAAACAAGATTTAGTGAAGGCTTACACGATTACTTTAGTGACTTATGCATGAATGGCTTTTCTGAAATATTTAGATATTTCCTCTTACCACATGCTTTCGCTATCTCTCATTTCTGGTAAGGTACTTACGAGTACAGGTTGCTCTGCGCACATGCCCTGGAAGTGAATACCTGTAGAAGCACTATGAATTAGTACTGCTTCTGTAAATGACTTTATAGATTCATGATAACAACAGAAGTGGGTTTATATGTTTATTTATTTATTTATTTATTTATTTATTTATTTATTTACAGTTCTTATATTCCGCCCTTCTCACCCCGCAGGGGACTCAGGGCGGATTACAGTAAACACATATATGGCAAACATTCAATGCCAGTTTGACAAACAACATTTAACAGACAAAGGCTATTTAACTTTTTTTTTTTCTGGCTGCCGGGGGAGCTGCTGCTTTTCATCGTCCATCAATGACACCGATGAAGTTCTTCCACATTCCACATTCCCCGGAGTCTTCTTTCTTTATGGCCTCATAAATTAGTTAAATTTAGCCTCCCACACAAGGTGGTACCTTATTTTCCTACTTGACAGATGCAACTGTCTTTCGGGTTGCAAAGGTCGACAACGGGCTACACAATGGCTGGACACCCACTCCAGCCCGGGCTGGCTTCGAACTCATGACCTTTTGGTCAGAGTGATCTTAATGCAGCTGACACTCAGCCAGCTGCGCCACAATCCCGGTGTGAATGAATGCACCAAAGCAGATTTACACCCTCCCAACCCTACATCTTTACTACATTCCAGAAAATTAGTCCTATTTTCTTGGAGCTAAAAAAGAGAAATCCTGACAGCTTGCAATAGCTTAGAAACCCTCCAAGGTTTCGTTCTGCATCAGAAACTTCTAGCCTACTGAAGATTTATGTTTGAATACATTTACAAGTCCCTACTGGAGCCACAAGACTTTCCAGTTGATGATGATTCTCAATTTTGAAGCTGGACCAAGCTGGGATTCAGACCAAAAGCAGCTTCCCCTGTTACAAGCCACTCCTGATTCCAATCAGAATGTAGCAGAGTTCGCTTAAGAGGAAAATGGCAAACTGTGGCTCTTCCCTGCCTTCTGCTGGAAGAAATGGCATAGTACAGCTTGAGAGAACATGGAAATCACCCCCCAAAAACTGCGTAAGGACAGCACAAAAATATGATTCAGATATAGGAGAAAGGCTCATTATTAAGCAGACAGAAAAGTACTGCCTTGTGCTATAAATTGTCTTTATTTTTCCAAATAAAAGCTTTTCAGATTTGTTTGTGTATATGATTTTGCAACCATCTTTTAACTTCAGTATATACATGAATGTTTAAATTATTTGAATTGGTCTTATATTTTAAAACTGTCCCAAATGATTTCAATTGCCAGCTGCCCAGAGATCTCAGGATATGGGGAAGGATAAGTAAACTGTAATTAAATAAACAGGTACTGCAATTATGTCTGATATAAAAGCTGGGGAAGAGATCAAAGTGTAAGCATGAGTCAGACTAGGGATCCACCTAATCTTGCAGTCTATATTCAACAAGGACAAGCTTTAGGTGTATTTTTTTTACATCAGAGACCTCAAAGGCTGCAAGATGCAACTCCTTGGAAGCAAGTCCACAGAGCATGCCAAGCGTAAACTTTGAACACACCTAACTCTGTAGTTGTTAGAGTTATTTTTGTGGGTGTGCCTAGCACAGTTAGTGCTATAGAAAAACTAACCCAAAGCAATTTACCTGTGAACCAAAATTGGAAATTGCATTTACACAATCATTTCAAATTCTGAGTTGCATGAACAAATGTTTACCAGATTCCGAACTAATGACAAGCACAAGGAGCAGGGAAGGCTGGCAGAGGAGCGCCTAAAACCATAAGAATCATGCTGGATTAAAGGAAAGATTTACGCAGTAACCATGTAAATGCCTCAAGGAGACCCATCATCTGATGATATAGGCAATAGCATCACCCAGCAACAAAGTTGAGAGAAACAAGTCTGTCATCTTGTTGGTGAAATTAATCATCCAAATGTCACAACCCAGACCACAGAAAGTGCAGCAGAGGTGGCCAAGCATCAAAGTCACCGAAGGAACAGTCTGCTATTTTTCTGGAGCAGCTGTGCCCCTACTTGAGCCTGTTCAGCAAAGAGCCTCCACTAAGTTTGGCAGATTGTTAAAATCAGCCATCAGGATCAAAAAATGCACCGGTGCTTGGCAGCTGTGATGGTCTGGATGGGAGCAAACAAATTGAAATTGAATCCAGACAAGACAGAGGTACTTCTGGTCAGTCGCACGATTGACAGGATATAGCCTGAGTTGGATAGGGTTACACTCCCTCTGAAGACTCAGGTTCGCAGCTTGGAAGTTCTGCTGGACTCATCACTGAGCATGGAACTCCAGGTTTTGCGTCAGCTGCACCCGTACCTTGGAAAGTCAGACTTGGCCACGGTAGTCCATGCTCTGGTCACATCCATAACGGATTACTGCAATGTGCTCTATTTGGGGTTGCCTTTGAAGACAGTTCGGAAGCTTCAAATGGTCCAATGGACTGCAGCCAGGCTGATCACTGGAGTGGCATAAAGGGTGTATGCAACCCTCATGTTACATCAGCTCCGCTGGCTGCCATACCAAGTACAATTCAAAGTGCTGGCTTTAGCCTATAAAGCCCTCAATGGTTCTGGCCTAACTAACCTATCTGAATGCATCTCCCCCTATGAACCACCTCGGAGATTAAGATCGCTTGGGGAGGCTCTGCTCTCGGTCCCATCTCCTTTGCAAGCGTGACTGGTGGGGAGGAGAGTAAGGGCCTTCTCTGTGGTGGCCCCTTGGCTGTGGAACTCCCTCCCCAGTGATATTAGAGAAGGAAAGTGAAAACCTGGCTCTGGCCTTTGGAGATTAGCTGCAGTGCAATAATAGCTATGGAATTATGTGCAATGACTTTTGGAATGGCCCTGGCTTACGACTGTGTATGGCGTGATTTTTAATAGTGATAGTAATGTTTTAAATGTTTTTAATGTGCATTTAATTTTTAATTTTTAATCTTAATGTATTTTAATTGTTTGTTGTTCAAAGACATTGAATAATTGTCATAGTTGTCATATCCCCTTCAAGATAGAAAAAGGGGGATACAAATAAGAGTAAATAAATAAGTAAATAAATAAAAATCACAAGTGTGCTCAAATAGATTGACTCTGCAACTCTGAGGCTCATCCATTTTGCCTTTTGTTATTTGCACGTAGCTCTCTTCACTCTGTGGAACAACGAGAGCGGAAGAAGAAATCCAACATGTTTAAGGCATTGTGGGGAATTGAAAAGAGCTAATGTATGCTCCATGAAAGCAGAGATTAAGGAAAGAAGGGCTAGAAGAGCTAGAAGATTCCTGAAGAGCTAGAGCACTGAACAAAGTGCTGTTAGGTAGGACAAGAGGGAAGAGCCAGGGAACAACTACAAGGCTACATAGCCTTGCCACTACTAATGTGTAGCAAATGAAGCACAGCTTGTGCTGATGGATGAATCCTACAGGATCCATGAAGGAAAAAGTAGTTTCTCTCAGTAGCTAACCCAACAATATATTTTGGTAAAGGGAAAACCTTAGCAAAAACAAATCATATTTTTCCTTGGCACTAGCCATTATAGTGTCTATTTTTCAAGCAAAATGTGATTCAGTGAGTTTAATCCAGTTAGTATAAACAAATGCATTTCGGTTAAAGAAATAACATTTGAAACTGGAAAGGGGCCAATGATTTTCCAAAACAAACACTTTGAAGATAAATATGTATTTTTCACCATATGACGTGCAGTTTGTCTGAAAATGTAAATCGGACACCCCCCCCCCCCCACAAAAGCATCTTTAATCTATTTACACTGAATTCCTTCTCAATAGAGAAATAAAATGCACAAGGTCAAACAATTAACACATTTTATTACAAATTTCCCCCTTTCTATACAACACAATATTTCATTTTGTCCACTGGATATCACAGCCACACACAAAGAAGTGGCAGTGCAAATGTAAAGTAGCCATCTGTGGTCTTTGTGACAGTAATACACACAGAAAAAAAACTACGTAACTGTTTCTCCAAGAAACACAATGTTTGTATGCCCCTATTGTGCTCCAATTCTTTCTCATTCATCCAAAATGCTCTGGTCATGAAGCTACATCTTTCCTCGGGCCTTGATGAATATCTTGAGAGATGTGAAATAATGATTTTCTTGTACAACTTGGCGCCACCCAAATCTATCTGCATGGTTTTCTTTATAAGTTGTGTATGTCCTACCATATTTCTTGACCTGTGAGCTTTTGCCACTTGAAGTTTCTCCTGTCCTAAAGGGCCTATTCCTGCTTGTTTTTAAAGCAAAGTGATGTACAGTCTCACATACACAGCTGGGTTGAGCATCAAGAAGCTTTGACAAAAAATGTTTTGAATGAGAGTAACAAGGAAGGATCTGCTACATCAGAGTAAGCATATTCGTTTGCTTATTGAACTTCCTGTTAAATCTGAACAGAAATCTAATTCTTTAAGACAAAAATATTTAATGTGATAGTCACTAATTCGCTAGCAAGCAGTGACTTCTCTAAGTAATAATGGCACATAAGACACTGACAGAAGTCATCCCTTCTTCTCCTGTGGTGGCAACACTACAAACCCTTAGTGGTCCAACCAGTAAAAGGGCAAACTGGCCTGGGCTGGTGAGGAATAAGATTCTGTATACACAGAAGAATATGTCCACAGCTTCAACCTACAGTAGTCTTCCACCCAGAGCTTGGAAGATATTTACACAGGGGACACAGTTGGCATCTGACAGGGATATCACAAAGCTACCTCTCCATCCTACCAATAAGCATCAGCAATAGCCTGGCACTGCAGCAGTGGGAGACAAGGTAGTTAGCAATTTTAGGAAGCGCTTGACATAGTTGTCAAGTGCCAAAATGCATTCTGTCAAGGGAGAATGCATTTTTTCCAGCTGGAATCAATAATTAGGGCAGCCATAGGTGTACAAATCAAGTGCATACACACAAAAAATCTCTTACTTTGCTATTAATTAAAATAATGCAGATAATCCAGGGAAGTGGACACACTTCACAAGTGATTTGCTGAATGATTGCCACATGCTTGGTTTCCCTCATGCTACAAAGAAGCAAGCCTTCTGGCCGAGGCTGGGGCAAATGCTCATAGGGGAAAGAAACATGAGAAATCCGACAATAGAGCAGCATGAAACACAAAGTTTGCAAGTCTAAGCACTGCACTGCCCACCAATAAGCAGAATAAAAACATAAAGATGACAAAATGCAGTTGAAATCTCTCTGGCATTGGTTTTTTTTATATTTATACACAATTAGGATGAGATTGTTTCCTCAGCAATCAGTAATTTTCTGTTGCACTTTGTTTGCTTTCACAAAGCAGCATATGGTGGTATTCTCATGCCAAGTGAGTAAACAAACCAAAATAACATAGCTTTGGAAAAATCAAGGATCAGCCAAGAATCCACAATGGGTTAATTTAGGTTTGCATAGTGCAACCATGGAAGAACAAGTTTTCAACTGAACATATACAAGCCTCAAGACGTTCTTCAGAGGATTGTTTTTACATGTTGTTTTTAAAAATAAGCATTTTTGGAGAGCATACCTGAGAAAAAGCACAGTCACTTAAAAAAACAGTTATTTTTCCAATATCCTTTTAAGTTACAAGATGCTGAAGATCAAAAGTTCTCAGCAATGAACACAGAAGAAGGTATATTTTAAACAAGTGCTGTCAATGTCTTCGATTTTTTCTGAAACCTTTCTTGCTTCAGAAAAGAAAAACTGCCACTCGACCCAAACTTGTCATATAAAATGTTTTGGACTATTTATACATATGTGTACAAGAGTTCAAAGTGTCTTAATATAGTCGGCAAGTCCTGTCACATTTCACAGTGATTTCTGGCTGCGACCCCCAATTCACATGCAATCCACAACATTGCTGGACCCATGACCCATGTCACGGATTTGGCTGCTAAGACAAGCACAGACAGCTACTCCGGCTCCAGCTCTGCAATGAGACACAGAACCCACAAGCTCCCACCTAAAAAGAAAAAAAGGAAGAATGTGAAACAATGGCAACCCACCTTTCACCAAACGTTTCTGATATCATAAGTGAAAAAAGCTTAGCATGTAGGAGAGATGCATAAAAGAACTCTTTTTATACAAATGCAATTTCAAAAATCGCTTTTATTCAATTTTATGGCTTTTAAGGGGTTCCGCAGCATCACCTATTTAGAACAGTCTAGCTCAGTACAGAACTGAATGGTGAGCATTCAAATTGAAAGAGAAAAAAATATGCAGAAGTGGGCATTTTGTTTATGTGTACAATAGCTGGGATTGTGCAAAGGCAAGATGCGTTTTAAATCAAGAGTGCTTATAATTTGTCTGAAGAGAAAGTGAGAGCAACAAGAGTGTTCTGGGAGAAGACAAAACCCATGCTAGCTTACATATATAACACCTAAGTAGATAAGATGAAAATTACCACAATCTGAATTTTGTTGAAGAACTAGAATTTTGTTGTCGAAGACTTTCATGGCCAGAATCACTGGGCTGCCTTGAGTTTTCCGGGCTGGATGGCCATGTTCCAGAAGCATTCTCTCCTGATGTTTTGCCCACATCTATGGCAGGCATTCTCAGAGGTGGTGAGGTCTGTTGGAAACTAGGCAAGTGAGGATCATATATTTGTGGAATATCCAGGGTAGGAGAAAGACCTCTTGTCTGCTTGAGGCGAGCGTGAATGTTGCAATTGGTCAAACTGATTAGCATTGAATGGTCTTGTAGCTTCAAAGCCTGGCTGCCTGCTGCCTGGGGGAATCCTTTGTTGGGAGAGAGGTATTAGCTGGCCCTGATTGTTTCATGTCAGGAATTCCTGTTGTTTGAGTGTTCCTCTTTATTTACTGTCCTGATTTTAGAGTTTTTAAATACTGGTAGCCAGATTTTTCCATCTGGTAGTCACTGAAATCCACAAGCATGTGGACAATTTCAACAGAAAGGAGGAAACCATGAAAGTGAACAAAATCTGGCTACCAGTATTTAAAAAAACTCTAAAATCAGAACAGTAAAGAACAAACAACACTCAAAAACAGGACAATTCCAGACAAGAAAGAATCAAGGCTAGTTAATACCTCCAAACAAAGGATTCCCCCAGGCAGAAATCAGCCAGTGTTTGAAGCTGCAAGGCCATTCAATGCTAACCAAGGTGACCAATTGCAACATTCACACTCGCGTCAAGCAGACAAGAGTCCTTTCTCCCACCCTGGAAATTCGACAGATAAACCACACTTGCCTAGTTTCCAACAGACATCACAACCTCTGAGGATGCCTGCCACAGATGTAGGCGAAAAGTCAGGAGAGAATGCTTCTGGAACATAGTCATACAGCCCGGAAAACTCACAACAACCCAATTAAGATTCTGGCCTGCAATACCATCTAGGGTACGGGTCCTCAAACTTTTCGAACAGAGGGCCAACAAAATCTTACCAGTATTTCAATGGGGAGTGTGGACCTGTTTTTGGTTGATGAGAGTCAAGTTAATTAGGATTGTTCTTGTTATGTGCCTTCAAGTCATTTCAGACTTAGGGAGACCCTAAGTCTAAAGTCCACTTTGGAGCACCACATCTAGCCCACAGACCTTAGTTTGGGGACCCCTGATTTAGGGGCATTGTGAAACATTTTTGTCATGTTTTACCCCCTCCCACAAAATTTTAAGCCCACAAGAAACATTTTTGAAAAAAAGGTCACAAACTGAAGTTTTTAAAAGGTCATTTTAGGACCTAAAGGGGCCAAGGGTGGCTTCAAAATGTGAGGAAAATCCCAATGAGGCTCCTAAATGACATTTGGGACCATTTCAGGGGAATTGTTAAAAATAAAAAATAAGGAAATTGACTGCTGAGGAGGGCACGTTCTCTCCTCTCCCCTGGGCTAGATGTGTCAGTTCCAGAATGATTTTATATTTAGCAAGGACAGCTAACATGAGCCAATTCTGTAATTCCCTGGAACATCTTTGAGGTATTGTCAGATACTGTCAGTTCGATATGTACTGATCTAGCAAGGAACCAGCAAAAATCTCAAATTACCTGTTCGCCACAGGATCATAGGCTTCCACTGTATTCAGGTAAGCGTTTCCATTATGTCCTCCCACTGCAAAAATTTTCCCCATTAAAGTTGCTATGCCAACTCCACCTCGAGGAGTTGTGAGTTCTGCTACATATTCCCACTTGCTTCCACTGCGAGGGTCAAATCGTTCAACAGAGCTAAGTGGTGAATTGTCATCAAAGCCGCCTACATAAAGACATACATAAGAAAGAAGCAGTCGCTATATGGTAGTTTAGGTAAATCAATCTCTCTCTCTCTCTAATCTATATATATATAAATGCTCTGTGCATAATGAGTACCTTACAAACAAAAGAACCAATGAACAAAATCACACCAAATTTGGCAACAAGACGTCTCACGACACAAGGAGTGACCATCACTCAAAAAATTATGATTTTGTCATTTGGGAGTTGCAGTTGCTGGGGTTTATAGTTCACCTACAATCAAAGAGCATTCTGAACTCCATCAACGATGGAATTGAACCAAACTTGGCACACAGAACTCCCATGACCAACGGAAAACACTGGAAGGGTTTGGTGGGCATTGACCTTGAGTTTGGGAGTTGTAGTTCACCTACATCCAGAGAGCACTGTGGACTCAAACAATGATGGATCTGGACCAAACTTGGCACAAGCACTCAATATGCCCAAATATGAACACAGATGGAGTTTGGGGGAAATAGACCTTGACATTTGGGAGTTGTAGTCACTGGGATTCACAGTTCACCTACAATCAAAGAGCATTCTGAACCCCACGAACGACAGAATCGGGGCAAACTTCCCACACAGAACCCCCATGACCATCAGAAAATACTTAAGGCCATCCAATCCAACTCCCTTCATCAGGGCAAGAAAACGTAATCAAAGTCCTCCTGACAAAGAGCCATCCAGCCATAATATATATATATATATATATATATATATATATAGAGAGAGAGAGAGAGAGAGAGAGAGAGAGAGAGAGAGAATGATTCACACAGAGAGATAAATAGTATCATAGATTTGAAAGGGACCCTTAAAGACAATGATATGTTGCATGTTCCAGGGTGGGCAAACCAGACACTCTCCACATCAACACTGACAAAGAAACAGCAAGAAATACTGTTTACCCACAAGCATCAAGAAATTACATATATTAGAAATCAACACTTTCTCATTACTTTATTTCCCAGGTCAACAGACTGGGCCACAGCAACGCGTGGCACGGGACAGCTAGTATATATATGTAAATTTATATCCCCTAAATTTCCAAACAGATATAAAAACAAGCTATAAAAGGACAGCTAACCATAAATAGGATAAAACAAATTTGATATACATAGGAGGATCAATGTCAGTATTCATATTACACAAAATTCACAATTTCCCCCTAATACTAATACAATGAACCTAGTGACTATATAGGTAAATGACTTTGGATTCAGAACAGTATACCAGTTTATCATGAACTGGTTTCCCCCACTTATCAGAAATGGCAGGATATATTTAAATTATATCTCAATATTCAACTCAAAATTCATTAATAAATGGCATAGATCTTTCCCTGCTATTATAGTTCATAAACAGACTTTTGTAATTCTTAGTGTGTGTATGTGCATTGCCTAGAAAGAGTTTACAAGACATAGAACATTTAATTGAGCTTGTGAAAAAAAGTGATATTTTGCTATAGTTGCACAAGATGTTTAAAATATATGAGCCGAGTTGGCACTACCCATTAAAGTAGCATACATTGGATATGACTTTCACAGGGGATACATTATTTGGAGAAGAAATATATTTTCCTCTCGATCTTCACAACCAAGAGTAGTTAGGAAAGCCATTTTAGAAATGCTTTTAGAATGAATATTCAATTTCTATACCAAAAACGATGTCTACAAAGGACTTTAACACACAGTCTCCATAACACTGTTCTTTACTTCAATGTAGACCCAGTCTTTCTTTAACTATGGACAATTATGTTGTTCAATGAATTTGCTAACTGTCTGCATATACACTTACTCTGGACTTTTTTCCCAGCAGATCAATCTTGTCCATAGCTTATAAAGGTACCTCACATGTTTTTGAGGCATGATTCTACACTACATACTTTTGATGGCCGAAATCATTAAAATTTTCAGTTTTGGTACTTTGCAGCTTTATAAATCATTCATAACCTTTTTATTACAGTGAACAATGTTTCTCGGAGAAAAAACAACTTTTGTATTTTGTCATTTTATCACATACTGTTCTGATGCACAGGCTGGTATGAATGTGAGCAACCCAACTGTTCCAACGGCACACAAAAACAAGAGATCTGGTAAACTGCACAAGATGTATAAAGTTAAGCCTAATCTGCAGCTCACATGACCTGGGAGAAGGTACATCAAGGTTAATAAGATGACTCCATGAATCTAGTGGTGCTCTCTTTGCTTCATTTTACATATACAAGATGGAAAATGATTGTTTACAGCCATATCCCAATATTAAGCAACTAATATTGAACTAGACCTAGGGTCCGGAGAATAAGCCCTATGAGGACCTGGGCATGACTAGCACGCAGAAGAGAAAGCTAAGAGGAGACATGATGGTCGTGTACAAATATGTGAGGGGAAGTCACAAGAGGAGGGAGGAGGCTTTTTTTTCTGCTACCCTGGAAGCTAGGACATGGAACAGTGGCTTCTAACTACAGGAAAGGAGATTCCATCTGAACATTAGGAAAGAGATTCACATCTGAATATGTGAGAGCTGTTCAGCAGTGGAACTCTCTGCCCGGGAGTGTGGTGTACACTTCTTTTTTTGGAGGTTTTTAAGCAGAGGCTGGATGGCCATATGTCAGGGATGCTTTGAAAGTTATTTTCCTGCTTCTTGGCAGGAGGTTGGACTGGATGGTCCACACAGACTCTTCCAACTCTATGATTCTATGAAAACGTTAAATCAGTCATTGCAATTAGATGTGGCTACCTCAAATGCTCAGGTTATAGCAGAGCTTCTGAAAAACACTTGTCATCTCTATGGGTTACTTACCTACTACATATAAACAGCCATGGAGCTCACTAACTCCATTGCCAGCTCTTCGCTGGCCCATTTCCTTTACTTCTATCCATTTATCCAGATAAGGATCATACTTTTCCACACTGGAAAGGGAAGCAATACCATCATTCCCACCAACAGCATATACATAGTTCTGAAAGGAGGAAAGGGTGAGAAGAACTTTACATCCAAAAGCAGGACCTCAGAAGGTGAATTAGAAAGCATTATCGGAACAAAAACAATCCCTCTAGTCCCTTTTAATTCCTCAACAGAAGTTATTGTTGTGCAACTCCTTTGTTATACAGCAAATGTCTGTCCCCGGTTAAGACTTCAGCAAAGTCTAGTTACCACCGTAAAATAAACGAAGTTGCTATAACACAACAAGCGACTTGAAGGCACATACACAGATATCAAGAACCTAAAAAGGGAAGACTTTCAGTCAGATTCATTGACAAGCTTTTCACAGTTTTGGAAATAAGTTGCCAATAGGCTGCTTTTCTCAAATAATCCAAATTTGAACTTTACTAATATGTACCCATATTGTTACCTGATGAAATTTACAAACAGGTGAACATCTAATCAAACAAAGAATTTTTCACCAATTTAATTTTATATTTTACCTGTGGTTAAGTTATTACCCTGAACTGAGGCATCAGCTGAAGCAATGACAGTGAGAGCCCATTCAGAAATACTGGCTTTCACACACCCTTGCCATGCTTGAATATGTCTAGGGTAAAAAAGCAGCACCTCACTCACACCTTCTTATAGTGCTAGGCTTCTAACCAACTAAGAAATACAACTGTTTACCATCAGAGCCACAGAGCCAACTCCTCCCCGAGGCGTATTCATGGGTGCAACTCCACTCCACTGATCGGATTCGATGTCGTACCTCTCCACCTCACTGAAGCAAGTATTATCATCCAAGCCTCCTATGGCATAGATGGGGCCTCCAAGAGAGGCAAGAGCAATTCCTCTCCTATTAGAAACAAAGCTGGGTTAATGGAATGCATCATTCAATATGCCACAACCGATCTATCCATTTACTGAGGATTTTGAGCATCTTATTAATCGCTTTGAGTCGCCTCCGGGCTGAAAAAAGCAGTATACAAATGTGGAAAATAAATAAATAAATAAAAACAGACTACAGTCAGCCCTCCGCATTTTCAGGTTCGACATTTGCAAAATGGATTATCCATTCATTTAAGTAATATGTCCTCCCCTTCAAGTCTCTAGTTTCTCCATTGCAAACCTATAATTAACTCTACTGGAGGTTGGCCATAGAATTATGCTGGAGGACTAGAGATTACTAGAGAATTCTTCTCTAGCTATTTGTAGGTCCCTTAGGCACAAACCTGTGGTTAACTTCTGGCAGCAGATACTGACAACAGGGACATACTAAAGCAATTAGAGAGGTGTTTTCTATGGTAAGATTTTTTTTTAAAAAAATGTGTTTCCCCCATTTTGTGGGGGTCTGGAACCCCTAATCTCAGCTAACGTGGAGGACTGACTATGCCTATAAACTATCATAAAATTCAGTTCAATGGTATTGTTTGGTAAGGAACTATAGGTTACAGCCATAAGAGAAAAGCATTAATGAGCAATCGACCAATTCAGTAAAATGTGAGATCATAAACTTCTTCAAAGATGTGTCAAAATACAAAAAAAAATAAATCAAAATATATTATTGGCAGACTTAACAGAATTAAAAAAAAAACTGAGTTTACATTGACTCAAGTAATTGTTTTCTAGTAAGTTCCATATCTTTATTCCGTATGTAATCTGTGGAGGATTTTTTGCAACAAAATGTGGAATAACTTTGATTGTGAAAATGTAAATACTATCTTTAATTTTTTTTAGCTTTCAGCTTTATAACTGAGATTATATATCTATAATTCTTCAGGCAATAACTTGACAGCTCTTGCTTTTTATGCCTTTTTTGTTCTTCATTTCTTTTTCACTAGCAGAATCATGCCCTAGTTTCAGTTTCCAGTTCTTTCCTGGTGTTTCCCATCATACTTTAAACTGTGAGACAAATGAGCAAGTCTAATTACTTGATGGGTGTTCAGGAATCCACATTCACTTCTTTATTTTTTAATAGGGAAGGTCCAATCCAGATTTAACTAACCTTTTGGTATTCATTGATGCTTTCATCATCCATTTATTTGACAGAGGATCAAACATTTCCATGCTGCCTAAGTGTTCATTTCCATCATGTCCACCTACTGCATACACTTTACCTGAAAAACAAAATGATGTAGTCATCACACAAACTAGTATAACTGTAAATTTGTAATATATCTGCCTATTGCTGAAAGTTATAAAAAATTCTACCTTGCTGGTATCACTTAAAGGGTTAAGTAGTCTGGATAGTGTAAGTACAACCAGTAGGATATTATAGACTGTTGCCAGGGATGGGAATCATGCAGATATTGTATTGTTGAAGGCTTTCATGGCTGGAATCACTAGGTTCTTGTGGGTTTTTTCGGGCTATAGAGCCATGTTCTAGAGGCATTTTCTCCTGACGTTTCGCCTGCATCTATGGCAAGCATCCTAAGA